AATGGAGTTACGAAGAGAAGCAAATAACTGCCCGATCCGCCGCCACCTGCGAACAGAGAATTTGCTGCTGGTGGTGGAGTTCGAGCTATCGTGGTTCTGGTGTTGAAACAATATTTTGAAACAGGCTGTTTCTTGCAAGTCCGCTTTGGCCTGCTGTGTCGGGCCACGTTGGCGTGACCGGAAACGCATATGCAGGCGTCTCGGCGGAAAGAAGCTTCCTCTCTTGGCCGGCATTCGTGAGCAGGGCTGCCATACGACCTGAACACAGACATCGCCGACATCTCTATCAGTCCGCTAGCATTAAAAGTGTGTCTATTCACACCAACAAAAAAAGCACACAAAAAATGTGTCACAGTGCAAAGATATGGCGGCGTTTCGAGCAGGATCGTACCCTTACCTGAGTTAGTCGACGGGTGCGTTATCCGAGAACCTTGCTGGTTCGCCGCCGTCGCAGTCTGCCGATTACTGGACTCCCGAGCCATCACAGTGTCCAGCAAGACAAACCATTCCGGTAAATTCCTAGGAGCAGCAGATGCGGACCGCTCGATCCGGTCTCGAAGCTGCAGGTACTGTCCTTTCAGGCGAAACAGCTTCGTCTTGACGGACCCCTCCGTGTGACGGAAATCAGAAATTTCGCCACGCAGAATGCGTACTACCAGATTCGCCGTAGTAATCGAGCCTTGAACTACCCCGCATGATGTGGTATTCCGGGTCGAGCTCCACGTGGGCTTTAACGAGCTCGATGACCTCGTCCTCTCTCCACGTGTCCGCGATTAGCGTTAGCTGCCGTGTCGGCATTAGAGTCCGCCATCGTCTCCAGCTGTTCCGACGGAGTCGCCACGAGGAGTGCTGGACGGGCGGCTTCGGTGGCTTCAACAGCCGTTGAGGCTTCAATATAGCTGTTTTGTTTTCGATAGCCGCTGAGCTTCAATAATAGCTGTGCCTCCAGCCGCAGCTGTGTTTTCAATGTCACCCCGTTTCAATATTTTCTGCGCTTTGATTATGTTCAACCGCGGCAATCAGGGCTTGTTGCAACGGAGGTTGGTGGTGCTGCTGGGGCTTCAGGGCTGGGAGTTTTGGACTCTGACTGCGGTTCCATGGCTTAGTTGCGAACTGATAAACTCTAAGAAGCAGTCAGTGTCACTCAAAAAAAATCTGCTGAAGGTCTGTGTCGCCTAAAAGTGCGACCCTGAAATGGTAAGTAGCGTTTCCAGTCACAAGAGCTGAGAACTAAAGCTCTCCACTGCAGGCTGGGGTTTCAAGAGGGGAGTGTGAGGGGTTTCAAGAAAGAGGGTGACACACTGAACTGTTATGTGAAGAGAAGCTCTCCACTGCATTCAGGGGTTTCAGATAGCAGCGTGACACACTGAACTGTTATGTGAAGCGAAGGTCGGAAATATGGGGGGGGAGGGAAAGAACGAGGGTTTTCAAATGCTGAGCAAGGGAGGGTTCAAAAACTGTCTCGAAGGCGGTTCCTCGTTTCAAGGATGAGAGCAGAGAGCAGCTTTGAGGGTGTTTCCTCTTAGAATATCCCAACGGACAAACAACCCCACCCCTGACCGGGGCAGAACAAAACTAAAAACCCATAGGGTGGCATGCAACCATGGCCGTTTTGGTTGAGTGTGAGCGCTAAGTAGAGGAGAATTCGAATGGGACTAAAAACCGTAGTACCTCCCCTGGTCTGGTATTACTATCGACACCGGGCACTGGTATTACGTTCCATGTCTAGGGTGTAGCATACCTAGGTGTTTGTCCGGTTCAACGGTTTAGACCGTTCTGAAACTAGCTGCACCTTACGGTCAACTGTAGATGAGAAGTGGGGTGACTTCCAAATACAGCAGTAGCGGTCATGCATCCGGGGACATTGCACGGTGTACCCCCTGACATTGAACGTTAACCCGTTCTCACGAGTCACGCCCAAACAGAACTTCATCTCAAGACATGTCCTGATGGAACTTCGTTCCGAGGCCATACGGAGGTACAATTGTGGGAAAGCTCGAAACCCATCAGGACCCAGATTGGGTCTCGTGGTAGAAGAGTGCAGCCTAGAACTGCACAAGTGAACAAGGTATCGCTCTGGTTCGGAACAAACATGAAGCCAATTTGCAATCTTAGCCTGACACGTGTCGAAACATGCGGTGGAACTCCAACTAGCCAAAGCGCCAAAGTACAGCTCTCCGACACCTGAGATGCTATAATTGGTTCGTCCAGATTACGTTTCACAGATGATGTCACAGCTGTTTCCGCTAACAGACGGGACGCACGCACACAGCAGCACAAGACGTTTCAAGCGAGGTTCGAGGAGAAGGACGTCCAATAACTACAGTTATTTATCGCCCAACTGTGCTGCAAGCCTCCGCAAGCCTGCATCCCCAGAACATAAATTTAAGGGAAATTATACGGGCAGTCACAATTATGCCCATTTTTACGACTGGTCATAGGGGAATCACGAACAGTCACAGTACAGTAGATTGCTATCGCGGGTGATCACAGTGCTATCACGGATGGTCACACCTCGCCCCAGAAAGCTATCACGTTTGGTCACTCGATGAAACGAGGATAATATATTTGAAGCCACAAATGAAACTGTAGAAATTTTGGGGAATCCCAACCTTCATTGCTTGTTATCTCGCGCAAAATTCTAGCCCGTCATTTAGGGGACTGAAGAAAAAAAATAAACCCCTAAAGGATGGCACGTCCATTGGGAGGCATCAACCCTAAACACCATGCGACAAGGTGTTTAGGGTTGATGCATCCCGACCCTAATCCCATCCGAATGGGGTTTATTTTTTTTAGTCTTGTGAACAAAAAAACACCCTTCGAGTTTCACCCATCTAAAGTGATATTTTAGGGTCATTATGCATCCATCGAACAGTGGACAATCAAATAGTAACAAGAAATCTCAAATGATTTTTACGAGTTACCGAGAGGGTGCGCGAAACTATTTCGTAACAATACGGACAAAACGGCGCGCGCGAGATAATTGTCCTTGAATCCCTACAGTGACTTGTGTAGTTTCAACTTATAATGGTCGTTTCAACGAGTGACCAAACGTGATAGCTTTTCGGGGCGAGGTGTGACCATCCGTGACAGCACTGTGATCACCCGCGATAGTAATCTACTGTACTGTGACTGTTTGTGATTCCCCTGTGACTAAACGTGATAAAACGGACATAATTGTGACTGCCCGTATAATTTCCCTAAATTTTAATCAACCAATGCGAGACAAACAATGGAAATTGATGCTATTGTTTGTGCTTGCATACACATCACACTTGCAGAATTTTGCTTCACGTGCATTATGTGTACTTTTGGAGCACTTGCCAATGGAGACTGCTGTTCTATTTTGTGATCTGTTAGGTAACATACGATGCACTTGAGCACAGAAAATACATAATCCATGCTAATGTAGTCGGTTTTAACCTATTTAATATGCATAATAGAAAGGTACCTACGGTAACCGATATGCCCCTACGCACTCACACCCACATTTGCACGAGGACCATCTCCCATCCACACCTTAATCTTCCTTCCACGCCCCTTGGTGTGTGTATCCCCATCCAATAAAGATGCCCAAAACTTGTGCAATCCACTCTTCTTGCTTCCACCACCACTGCTCCTGTTGTTGCTGCTCTTGCTGCTGGTATTTTCATTGCTGCTGCTGCTGCTGCTGCCCTTGCTGCTGTTGCTGCTGATGCTGTTTGAGCTTTTATGGGCAATTATGTTGGAAGAAGCTTCAGAGAAAGATTCTTCCAGAGGAGCCACCAGATGCCACTCAGACGCCCCAGGTGAAAACTCAGGCAGGAAAAGCGTAGACGCATTAAAGGTCCTGCCTGTGCCAGCTGTCCTGCTGTCTACAGATGACATGACCCGGGTGCCGATATCACGACCTGGCGTGGCGAACGCATGGTGCTGACGTGGCATGTGCTGACGAGGATGCTGCTGCTGCTCGTTCATTGCCATTTTCGGAGCAATAAATCTGGCGCTTCCTCCGAAGTTAGGATTGCGAGAACTGTAACCGGGCCTACCACCCGCCATAACGTTACCACCTGTCATAATGTTACCGGCTCCCAGGATCTCTACACCCGTGTTCCCTTCCTCGGAATCATCAAATTTCGCACTGTAGATGCCACTGCCGCCCCCCATATCAGCACCATCGATGTGACTGTAAAGAACGCCCGGCTGGTACTGCACCCCGCTGTGCTCCGGCACAGCAAAATTCGTCAAGGGAACGCCACTGGGATGGATCAGCATTCCGGGGGAGGAGGAAGAGTGGTGAAATTGACCCTGGGTAAGACCAAAATTAGGGGAGGAGGAAGCGTGGTGAATGGGCGCCAGGGCAGTTTAGGAGAGGAAGAGGGTTGGTGAAATGGGCCGACTGGCAAGCCAGGGGAGGAGGAGGAGTGGTGAATCAGATCCGAGGGGGCACCAGGAGAGGAGGAGTAGGAGGAGGACTGGTGAATGAGACCATGGGGCACACCAGGGGAGGAAGAGCCATGGTGGTGAGGGATGGGGAGTGGTGCAGATGGGGGCTGGGAGTGGTGAATCTGCTGCTGCGGGTTCGGCCTCAGTGCGAACTCCTTGCTGTGCCTTTTAGGCTTCTGGCGGGTCTTCAAGGGGGGGGCGGAGGCGGAGGCAGAAGCGGAGGGGGAGGGGGAGGAGCGGGGGGAAGAGTGGGGGCGCTGGTGGAAGCCAAGATGGTTCAGGAGAGAGGACGAGAGGGAGCGGAGCGTGGGGTGGTGCTTGTGGCGCGGCGAGCTCGCGGAAACGCCCGAGAAGGAGGAGTGAGAAGAAAGCTTGTGGTGAAAATCTCCTGCTGTAGCCGCTCCGCCTGTACCAGTTGTAGCGGCAGCAGAAGCAGAAGGTGAAGGAACGACAGGAGGCAGAGGAAACGCGGATGTTGCAGCAGCAGTCGCAGCACGTGGGTGGTGCGTGTCAGGCGCGTGCTCGGCACGTGGCTGGTTTAATACGAGGTGCTCTGGCAGCCCGTGCGTGAGATCCAACTCCTCGATGCGGATGTTGGCCTGGTCCAGCCACGCGCAGGACGCTTCGAGCTCTGCATGGGGAAGGAAAGAACGGGAGACGTGAGGTTCAGGGTGAGGTGACCTGGCATCCCGTGCGTGAGGTTCAGCTCTTAGGTGCGGTTGCTGGCTTGATCCAACCACGCGCGTGACCGTTCCGTTCTACAGGTGGGTTTGAAAAATCGAAAAGAAAAGAAAAAGAAACCGAGCTGACGCGGATAAAATCAGAAACAAACAACAAACCAAACCAAGAATCAATCACACTAAAAAACAAATGCAGCTGCAAGTCGTCTCGCATAACGCGCTCCAGTTCGCTCAACAGCGAGTATCACGGTGACGACTCTCACGGCGAATCTCACGGCGTCTCTCAGGGCGAATCTCACGGCGCTCACCTGTTTTCGGTTCGACTTGTGAAGCGACTCGAGGTACGCGAGTCGAGATGCTCTCACGCGCGCGAAGTAGTATCAGCTGAGTTATATAGCTCAGCACGGCGTTTCTCGCGGCGACTTTCACGCCGTCTGTCCGACAGCACGCACGCACCTGTCCATCGGTTCGACTTGGGAAGCGACTCGAGGTACGCGTCCAGGTCCTCTTCCGCGCACGCCGCGTAGTCGTACTCGTTAGAAGCCTCCGCATTTTCGTGATCCTCTGGCAGCAGCGTCAGCGGCTGGAATCGGCAGTCGCCGGGGGCTCCGCCTTCCGCTACGGTGCTCGCCCCTGGGAACAGCCGGCGGAAGGAAGACGCGGCGGGGGTGAAAGGAGGGGAAGGAGATGGGGAGAGGTTGAGCAGCCGGGAAAATAAAGACGGGTCCCGCTTTGGGATAGAAAGAGCAGAACGAAAACCCTGCATCATCACGGTACTGTTTTCGGCCAGATCGTTAGTACGGTAGTGTCCGCATTGACTAAGAACGCCAGTACCGTGGAAATGCACCGTAGGATACTCCTGTACCTCTCTTTTAGCTCACGCCTTACTAAAAAGGCGAGTGCAGGAATCGTTTGGAATTTATCAACGCTTCGTGAAAGCGAGAGCCCACTGAACTGAATGTAGCGTAGCGCTTACATTGCTCGATGTCTTTGCGCTCCGGGCACCAGCTGGTGTAGCGAGTGGAGTGGAAGTCGGCGACAGTTGTCATGGCGGACGGTGACGATGGCTGACGACGAAGTGCGACGCGTGCGACGGTGATGCTTGGTGACAATTGGAAAGTCGCAGAGAATTTGCGGACGACGCGGCTGGAACCAACGCGAAGCCTCCCGAGAGAGATGCTAGGGGCAGCGCGCGAAAGCTGCGTAACGCTGATACAGCAGCGAGCTTCAAGGCACTTGAAATACTGAGAAAATTACTTGCAAGAAGTCCCGTAGCATGGAGTGGAGTAACGTCAAGTACGGTTTTGTCCGTTATAGACGGGTGAAAACATGTGGTGGGGTCGACGACGACTCGACGACACTGACGACCGGGTGAAGTGGTGGAAAGGTTGGAGGGGAAGTGTGGGGAAAGCGAAAGTGATCAGCTCAGCTACTGGAAAGTGGACAATGCTGCATCAGCGGCTCCAAGATTGCTGCAAACCTGTAGTGATCGGGGCCGTAACCTAAACCAAGTTCGGACGTTTGGAGCGCTGCGGCGCTGACTAACACTTCTAGGCGCGCCATGCCGAACGCAGACAGCTCCTGGTTGGGTAAGCGCTTGGGTGTGGAAAAGTTAAACCTGCCGGGCCAGGCCTACTCTTGTGGTTTGAAATTGTTGGTCCGGAACACAGAACGAGACCTTCAAGCTTCGGCCTGGGCCGGGCCACATCTACAGTGATCCACCGAACCGAAACTGCAAGAACGGGGGGCAGCAATTGGAAACAAGTATCTCCGAGAATCTGGGCGATGCTACTGTAGATTCAATGATGAAAATCGTCCAGTTACTGTAGTCTGGCCCGGCGTTTTCTGTAATCCACCATACACCACCACACCAGACCATGCCACAAACATCAGAAGCCACCGACTTATGAAACCACAGAACATCGCACGAGCGAATCGACAAACGAGCGCTGATTCGATAGGACGAATGGTTGGACAACACTTTTATTGGCTAGGCTAAACCTCGACGGAAGTTCATTGGTTACAAATGAGCCGCCAATGCTGCCAAGTAGCATCAAATGTCTCAGCAGCAGTGGTCCGCCGTACGGGATAGAGGGAGGCATAAATACACTCGCAAGAAGGAATGCTCAACGTGGACAGGTGTACACATTGGTTCAATAAAACGCTTCTAGTACTTCTGTCACCAATTTGCTTCCATTGAACTCATAACGTGGTAATATTTACCACCTCTTACGCCTCTTGGCATCTCGGCTAGCCTCCACGTCCTCAACCCTTCTGTTTAGTTAACTGCACGCAAACATTCTCCGCCAATCGCTGCGAGCGACAGCTCCTCAAACTGCAAGTACGCATCCTCCAGCAACTACCTCCTCTTTAGCGTCTTAGCATCTTTGCCATTACCTGTTACACCACTACACATCCTGCCATCAACTCTCTCGCAAACTCCTCGAACTCCACGAAAGCATCCTCCGCCAATCGCTGTGACAGATCCTCAAATCTTGAGTACGCATCCTCCAGCAACTTCCTTAAAAGTTTTGAGTTGATTCAAAACACACGAGTACACATCCTCGAGCAACTCCCGAGTCCCAAGTAAGCTCCTCCTCATTCCTGCTTCGACGCAACTCATCACCTCTGCTATTCACCTCCTCTACGCTTCTTGGCATCTCGGCTAGCTGTTACACACTCCTCCATCAACTCTCTTGCAATCTCCTCAAACTGCGCACTAGCATCCTCCGCCAATCGCTGTGAGAGCTCCTCAAACCGCGAATAAGCATCTCTAGCAACTCCCTAGTAAGCTCTTCAAACTGGAAACACGCGTTTCGCACAGCTGCACCCATGGCTCCAGTCAGCCTCCCGCCCAACCTCTCGCTCACCCTCTCGCCCGACCTCTCGCCGACCCTCTCGCCCAGCCTCTCGCCCGAAACCCTGCACTCGGAACCTTTCCACCTCCTGTGAACCTCTCTGTTCCTCTCCGTGCAGATCTTCCCTCCTTCCGCTCCCGCCGCTCGATATTACCAGGCCTACCACGTAATGAGCCCCCCTCAGAAGTCAAACTACCCGGTGCTGCTGCCCCTTGTCTGTGGGCTGATGCAGTCGAATAGAAGTTTGTAGCATGCAGGGGAGTTGTGGCTGGAAAGGGGACTGTAGCTGGCATGGGGGTGGGGGCTGTAGCAGGCAGGGGGGTTGTAGCGGGCAGGGGGGCTGTAGCGGGCAGGGGGGCTGTAGCGGGCAGGGGGGCTGTAGCGGGCAGGGGGGCTGTAGCGGGCAGGGGGGCTGTAGCGCCGGTAGCAAACGTAACCCTGTTACCAGGCAGGCGCAACAGGTTGTTGCCTGATCCACCAGATCTTTGCGTCAAGCCAGAAACCGGACCTGTAGCACCAGGAACAGGAGAGACTTTGCTGCGCAGGCACAGCAGGTAGGTGTCAGAGGGTTGCCTCGAGTCCGAGGGTTGCCCCTCAGGTGGTGCAAAGGGAGAGACAGTGGATGGAGCTGCTGCTGTTAACGGGAGAAGCGCGGACGGTGAAGGTAACGGTAGTAACGGTAACGGTGATGGTGATGGGGATGGTGATGGTGAGAATGATGGCACTGCTGCCGCTGCTGCGGCTGCTGCGGCTGTGGCTGCGGCTGTGGCTGCGGCTGCTGCTGCTGCTGCTGCTGCTGCTGCTGCTGCTGCTGCTGCTGCCCCTGCCCCTGCTGCTGCTGCTGTCCCTTCTGCTGCTGCTGCTGCTGCTGCTGCTGCTGCCCCTGCTGTTGTTGCTCCTGCGGCTGCTGCTCCTGCTGCCTACTATTCTCTCCCCATCCTGAACCAATGCTCTCAGGAAACGCATACGCTGGCATTTCAGCGGGCTGTTTCGGGGCTGTCAATACCATCGCAACAGCAGATGCAGCAGCTGCTCTAGAAGCCTTTCTAGCCTTATTGGCAGCAACGTTTTTCCGCGCCTGAAGCTCAGTCCCATAGAACACGCGAATGTACTCGAACCATGCTGGTTTTGTCCTATCCTTCCCCCCGGCCTTGGCCCTTCCCTTCCCCTTTGTCTTTGCCCCTGTGTTCCCCCCTGACGCGTTATTGGGTTGCTCATCCGCGTTACTAGACCCACCCTGCCGCTGCTCATCCACGGCCCCCACCTGCTGCCCCCCGGCCCCTGCCTGCTGCCCCGCGCCTCCCGCATGATGCTCCGCAGCACCCCCCTGCTGCCCCGCTCCCCCCACCTCCTGCTCCGCCCCCCCTGCCTGCTGCTCCGCGCCCGTCGTCCCATTCGCGGGGCACCGCCCCGTCCCCCGCTTCCCCCCCCCGCTTCCGCCGCTTCTTCCGCCGCGGGTCGAGCGTCTCCGCGTCGTACCGCGCTTTCATGCGCGTCCACTGCTTCTCCATCGCCGTGGGGATGCGCCGCCATTCCAGGTTTCCCCGCCGGATCGCGCGCCACACCTGCCGCCAGAACAAGGCACAACAACAACTCTTTTTCCAGAAAAAGGAAGTATCTGTGTACAAGAGAACTTGCTGCCACTTCAAACAAAAGCTCCTAAACGGGGTTCCCCCGCCGGATCGCGCGCCACACCTGCCGACAGTAAACTTCCCCCCTGCCGCCGCTCCGCCGCGTCACCTCCCCGCTGTGCCGGCAGAAAACGACAGCCGCTGCGAGCTCCATCCGCTCCGCGTCGCTCCAATGACTCATCTTCCGCGCCGCGAGCTCCCCTAATTCCTCGCCTTCCGTTTCGCCTTCCTGGAGTTCGTACCATGGGACCTCGAGACCGCCCGGTTGCCCCACGCGACCCGGTTCCCCCACGCGACCCGTATCGGCCTCCGCATCCGTTGCCCACTCTCGATCCGTTTCTCTGTCTCGAACCCTGTCTTCTGTTAAGTCATACGGCCTTCCGAATCGTCCTCTAAGACACTCGTCGATATCGTATGAGTCGTCCGACTCGCCGTCGTTTTCGGCGTCGCTTTCGCCGTCGTCGCCGAAGTCGTCGCCAAAGTCGTCGCCGAAGTCGTCGCCGGCGTCGTCGGCGTCGCTTTCGTCGGCATCGCAGCGTGTTAAGGCGGCAGCGTGCTGCTCCTTGATCCACCGAATGAACGGAGGGTCGGGTGTTAAATCGTCGCCGGATCGGCTTCCTTGCCCGCCTGGCCTGGAATACCGTTAGCTGCACGATTCCTAGGAGCCATGAAAATTCTGATTAGTGGCTATGGCCAAGGAGAGACCGGAAAATTCTGCTACTAGGTCGCGTTCAGAATTCGTTCAAAGTGCTGGTCCTGGACCAGAAAAGACCCTGTCCATGCAGGGGACATCAGTCAGGAAATTCCAACTAGACAATACGCAATGATCCTAAACTATCAGCTGGACCCTAGGTCTGTCCTACCTGTGACAGAAAATGAACCATGGTGGCAGAGATCTCAGCACGTTTCAGAGAACTGATAGTTTCAGTTCGGCTTTCGCATCAGACAGAACGGTTCTACAGGGTTAAGCTGTGTGTAACCCTCAGATGTCAAGCAGGTATACAGTCTGCCCCAAATTCCCAGAGCAGCTCTGGTCGACACGACGACTCTCTTGTCGTTCCCGCTTGTCTTGCAACGCTGAAAATTGCAGCACGCGGTCAGTGGAAATACGAACAAGGTCTGGCAAAACATCCACCAGAGTCGACGAATTCGAGACATCACAGGTTTACGAATTCCATTTCGCGAGTCTCAGAGAGCAGCTCTATGAACCCAGATGGTAACCAGCGAAGTCCATCGCGAAGAGACACGAAAATTGTCGTATCCCTGGTCGGTTACTAATTGGGGTTTTGCATGGGGTCGTCTGCCCGTTTCTCATAGTAAAGTGCAGTAGATGAAGTCGTCCCGCAACCCGGAAAAAGCCGTCACTTGACATCCTTCGCAGGCAGTGGTCACAATAAACTGCTCGACACATGAAAAGCAGCTGGACACGGTTGAAGGCTGAGTCAACCGGAAGGAGTTGTTTGTCAAACAGACCCCCAAAGTTTGAGAGTAGCGAATGGATTCGATTTTCGGTAATGAGTGTTTACTGAGTGGACTCAGGGTACATTCCGCGCTGGACATGTCCCAATCGAAAGTGTCTCAATCGTTTCTACCGCACTGCATCGTATTACACCAAATTGCACCCTAGTTTCGAAATTTTCGCGTCTCTGGTTTAGTTCGGTTCGGAGCGGTACACTCGATTGGGACACATCGATTGGGACAGTGTCCACAGCGGAATGTACCCCTCAATACAGTAAACTGTGGAAGTTTCAGGAATATACAAAACGAACCAATTTTTTTCCAGCAGAAAGCCTTGTAGTATTCTCTCTGCAAATTGCATAACGGATTGAAAGGAAAATAAAAACACTGATACACAATCAAAATGTTGCTTCCATGCAACTCATCACTTGTGTTAATATCTCCTCTTCCGCCTCTTGCCATCTCGGCAAGCCGTAACAGTCTCCTCCATTAGCTCTCTCGCAATCTCCTCAAACTGAGCAGAAGCATCCTCTGCCAATCGCTGTGAAAGCTCCTCAAACTGCGAGTACGCATCCTGCAGCAACTCCCGAGTGAGCTCATCAAACTGAGCGCAGGCGTTTCTCACAGCCGCACCCATGGCTGCAGTTAATCTCTCGCCCACCCTCTCGCCCAACCTCTCACCAAGCCTCTCGCCTGAAACCCCTGCACTCGAATGCTTTCCACCTCCTGTAATCCTGTCTCCCAACCTCTCCATTCCCCTCCTTGCGGATCTTCTCTCATTCCGCTCTCGCTGCTCCCTTCTACGACCCCTTTCACGCAGTGAACCCCCCCCAGAAGTCAAATCACCCGGTGCTGCTGCTGCTGCGCCTTGTCTGCGGGCTGATGCCGGTTCAGAAAGGGGAGCTGTGGCATGTGCTTGCGTCGCGTCAGTATTATTTTGCATGATGTCGAAAATCGGATCCGTAGCGGCGGGAGCAGGAGTGGGAGCGACTTTATTACGCAGGCACTGCAAGTAGCTGTCAGACGGTTGCCCTTGCCCCCCAGCAGGTGCAAAGGGAGAGACAGTGGTCGGAGCTGCTGCTGTTAAAGGGAGAAGCGCGGATTGTGAAGGTAATGGTAGTAACGGTAATGGTAATGCTGATGGTGAGGGCCCATTGTTTCCCTGCTGCTGCTGCTGCTGCTGCTGCTGCTGCGGTTGCTGCTGTGTTTGTTGCTGCTGCTGTTGTGTCTCCTGCTGCTGCCGCCCACCTGTCTCTTCCCACCCTGAACCAATGCTGTCAGGAAACGCATAAGCAGGCATTTCAGCAGGCTGACTTCTTGCAGTAAACCCCGTAGCAACAGCAACAGCAGTAGCCACCCTAGCTGCTCTTCTAGCCTGTTTTCCTGCCACTTTTTTCCTCGCCTCAAGCTCACTCCCGTTGAACAATCGAATGTACTCAAACCATGCTGGTTCTGTCCTAATCCCCCTACCCTTCCGCCCTCCCTTGGACCTTCCGCTCACTTTTGCCTGCGCCCCTGCGTTCCCCCCTGACTCGTTATTAGGCTGCTCATCCGCGTTAGTAGCCCATCCCTGCCGCTGCTCAACTGAGCCCCCCACCCCCGTCTCACCCCGCTTCCTCCTCCGCCGCTTCTGCTTCCGCCGCAGGTTGTGAATCTCCTGGTCGTAGCGCGTATTCATGCGCTCCCACTGCTTCGCCATTGCCGTCGGAACGCGCCGCCACTCGGGGTTCGCGCGTCTGAGCACGCGCCACACCTGCCAAGAGTATACACGACAGCAACAACTACTTTTTTTTTAAGAGGAAAAAAATGTATCTGTTTAGAAGAGCCGCCATTCGGGGTTTTCAGGACTTGCTGCCATATATGACGAATGCTCTTAGAGCGGTTTTACCCCGCCAGATCACGCGCCGCACCTGCCGCCAGTAATCTTGCCCAATGCTCCGTCGCGTCGCCTCCTCGCTGCGCCGGCAGAAAACGACAGCCGCTGCGAGCTCCATCAGCTCCGCGTCGCTCCAAAGGCTCCTCCGCGCCGCGAGCTCCGCCATTATCTCGTCTTCGTTCTCGCATCCCCGTAGTTCGTACCAAGGGACCTCGAGACCACCCAGTTCCCCCACGCGACCCGGTTCCCCCACGCGACCCGAATCCTCCACGCGACCCGGTTCCCGCACGCGACCCGGTTCCTCCACGCGACCCGTTTCGGCCTCTGTATCCATTTCCCTGTCTCGATCCGTTTCTCTGTCTCGATCCGTTTCCCTGTCTCGATCCGTTTCTCTGTCTCGATCCTTTTCCCTCTCTCGATCCGTTTCCCTGTCTCGAAATGCGTCTTCTGTTGAGACATACGGCCTTCCGAACCGCTCTCCGAGGTGGTACTCGTCGATATCGTACGAGTCGTCCGACTCGCCGTCGTCGTTTTCGGCGTCGCTTTCGCCATCACCGTCGCTCTCGTCATCGTCGTCGCTCTCGCCATCGTCGCCTCTCAAGTCGTCGCCAAAGTCGTCGCTAACGTCGTCACCAAAGTCGTCTCCGTCGTCGGCGTCGCTTTCGTCGTTTTCGTCGGCGTCGCAGCGGGTTAACGCGGCAGCGTGATGCTCCTTAATCCACCGAACGAACGGAGGTTCGGGTCGTACAATCGTCGCCCGATCGACTTCTGTGCCCGCCTGGAATGGTATACTGTTAGCTGCACGATTCCTAGACGCCATGATAGTTCTGGAATGAGGATATCGCCAAGGAGAGACAGGAAGTTGCGCAACCAGGACGCGTTCAGAATTCGAACTAAGTCCTGGACCAGAAAAGACCCTAGGTCTTGTCCGTTCAGGGAAAACCAGCCCAGGAGTTCCAGCTAGAAATGTCCCTAGACTGTTGCTGGACACTAGGTCTGACTTCTCCGTGACAGAAAAGAGTCTGTTTGGCAGAAACATCTTGGGAATGGACCTTGGTGGCATGTTTCAGAGAACAGATCGGTTCCGTTTGGTTTTGCGTAAACCAGAACGGCTTTACAGGTTTATTAGGCGTTGGTACCGTCAATTGACAAGCAGGTATGCAGCTGACACGACGATTCATGTTCCCCCGTCCCAAGTTCCCAGAGAGGTTCTGGCTGACACGACAACTCTCGTGTCGTTCCCGCTTGTCTTGCAACGCTGAAAATTGTACCACGCGGTCAGCGGAAATATAGATAGGGTCAGGCAAAAGATCCACCAGCGCCGACGAAACGAGACACCACAGGTTAACGAATTGTGAATTTCGTGAGTCTATCGAAGCAGCTATATAAGCCCAGATGGTAACCGACGAAGGCATACGCGGAAAACCGAAAGTGTCGCATCCCTGGGGCTTACTTGGGACAGCGCTCAGGCGCAGCCAGTGATGGCACTACCCAGCCGATGCCTGGCATGGGAGGAAACAGGGTCGCGCCAAGCCCGCGGGAGCCTCGCGAAGTCCGTCGGCACGCGGAGTTCGCGGCGACAAGTGGCGAACAGGCCATTATGGCACCAATGCCACTCAAGCCGCAACGCCCGCCCTGCTTTGACCCGAGCCAGCGTGGAGGTCCGACAGTTCAATCGTGGGTCTTCACGATGAACGTCTTCTTCGACGCGAATTACGTCGAGTCGGACGCAGCGAAGATTCGGTATGCCGTTTCGCTGCTAAGGGGCCCCGCCATGGACTGGTGGCGAGTCATCGTGACGTCGCCACGCGCCTACGAGCCACCGTCGCAAGAGGAAGGGCCCACGGGTCCAGCTGTCACCTGGAGTTCATTCTGCGAGACCGCCCAATACAGCACGTGGGATGCGTGGTGCGCAGGGCTTCGGGCGCGCTTCGAGCCGATCGCGTCTTCTATTTCGGCGCGTCAGAGATTGCGCACTTGGCGGCAGCTCGGGTCGGTTCAAGATTACACGAGCGGTTTTCTCGCACTTTGCGAGCAGGTCGGCTACATGCACGAAGCGGAGCGGGCGGACCGTTACGTTGGAGGGCTGAAGCCGGATATCTCGCATGAAATCATGCTGCGCGGACTTTCGAACTTCAACGAGATTCTCGCGCGCCGAGAAAATCGACATTCTACGCCGACCGAGACCGGGGTCCTAATACGGACATCGTCCTCGGGGACCGATCGAGCACGCCACTGTAAACGCAGTTGCGACGAATGCAGCTGCCGCACCGTTTAAGGGGCGCTGCTTTGCTTGCAACAGGCCGGGCCATCGCAAGAGCGAATGCCCCGAGGAGCTGAGGCGCCGCGGAGCAGAGCTGGGGAGGGAGTCTCAGAGGCAGGGAAACGCCAGCAGTCAGTAGAAGTTGGGCCAACTACTGACGAGACTGCCTGCTCGCCCAACCGCACCGACCCTCACCGAGTCACAGTACCGATTCACGCTATCGATCGGGCTCGGATGAATAAGGAGGGTACAGCGACGGATTGCCCAGTACTGATCCACGGGAAAATACAGGGAGCAGCAGTGAAGATTTTTATTGACGGAGGAGCAAGCCACAGTTTAGTTAATACCGCAACTGCACGGAAATTACAACTGACACTTAGTCGCTGCTTACCTGAGATCGACGCACGCTTAGTTGACGGCACGCCGCTGGCCATACGGGAGAAGGTGGAAAGAGTAAAAGTTCGCTGCGGGGGAAACTTCGGGTTTACACAGGAAATGCTCGCGACGACATTGGATGGGCACGATATTTTACTGGGGCGTGATTGGCTACGACGGTATAACCCACGAATCGACTGGACGACGGGTAGCTGCACTGTGCGAAGTAGCGGTAACTGGGTCATGCTACCTCGCTGGCAGTCGCCCGAGTCTTCAACGGTCCACGTCAACGCCATCACGATGAAACGGGCTGTCGCCGCTGGAGCTGACGTGTACGCAGTAGATATAGCATTGGTAGGAGAAGCAGAGCAACCGAGCGATTTTCAGAAATTGTTGGCAGCAGTACCGCCCGAACTACAGGAACTGTTGAAACGGTACCCGGGGATTTTTCCGGACGACTTACCGGAGGGACTGCCACCTCAGCGGGCGCATGATCATAGAATTGAGTTAGAACCAGAGGCACAGCCAACTGTACAGCGCCAGTTCAGACTGACACAGCCCGAGCTCGACGAACTGAGGAAGCAGTTAGATTATTTGTTAGAGAAGCAATTTATCCGACCGAGTTCGTCACCGTTCGCCGCACCAATACTGTTCACACCGAAAAAAGACGGAGGGTTTCGCATGTGCATCGATTACCGAGCGCTCAACAGGGTAACAGTCAAGTCGCGGTACCCCATTCCCCGCGCCGACGAACTGATAGACCAACTGCGAACAGCACGGGTTTTTTCGAAAATAGATTTACGGGGAGGTTACCATCAGATTCGGGTCGAACCATCGGACTGCGCCAAGACAGCTTTCAGGACTAGGTACGGGTCGTTCGAGTACACGGTGATGCCTTTCGGGCTGACCAATGCACCAGCGACATTTCAGATGACCATGAACGAGGGGTTTAGGCCACTTTTAGATAAATGCGTGATAGTTTACCTCGACGACATCCTCGTCTACAGTCGTGACAAGCAGCAGCACTTAGCGGATCTCGAAGCAGTATTTAAGATTTTGGAGGAACATCGGTTACTGACCAAGGGCTCTAAGTGCGAGTTCTTTCGGGACAGGCTAGAATTTTTGGGGCACGTTATTTCGGAGGCTGGGGTTGAGATTGACCCAAAGAAGCTGGACACAGTCAAAGCCTGGCACCCCCCGACGAACATCACGGAGCTGCAGAGTTTTTTGGGGTTTGCTAATTACGTCCGTCGGTTCGTCCCCGATATGGCTCGCTTAACGGCCCCACTGACGGATCTGCTGCGGAAGGGGGTCGTGTTTACGTGGGGGGAGAAAGAGCATGCTGCCTTCTCTATCAGAAATAACGAAACAGGAATGAATGAACTAGCACAAAGTTGGGTACAAGTAGGAAACCCTAAGTTTGTGTACCCCCTAAGGCTAAACCCACTATAGCCTACACAATGTAAACATACAATGTTTGACACACCCCCATAGGCGAAGTGGGACACAACCGGAGGGTCACAAGACCAGTCAAAGCAAAGCAAAGCTCAGGGTGGATCTCAAGGATACCACACAAATTCCGAGCACAAGCAAGCGGTCACAAGACCAGTTCACATGCAGTTTGATAATATAACAAGAGGTACAGTGATCACAACCTAGCAAGTGAAAGCATGCAGGTATATATATATAGAGATCACAGTACAAACAGAGTCAAGAAGTGAGCAAGTGAGGGAGAGTAGGCACAAGGCCTAGAACAGTACAGAAACGCTGATGGTCACAAGGCTGAAGCGCCTTGGTGAACACATCAGCAGTGTTGGCCCGAGTGGCCACGTAGGTAAGACGAAGCTGACCACGCTGCTGCAGCTCTCGAGCAAGGAAGTAGCGCAGAGCGATGTGCTTCGTTCTGTGCTCCAGTCTGTGCTCCTCACACAAGGCAATGGCTGCCTTGTTGTCGACGTACAGCACTGGAGGAGAACGAGGCCGCTCTCCGAGGTCGGTCAGCAGGTAGGTGAGCCAGCGTAGCTCCTGGGCCGCCATGGCTGTAGCGTAGATCTCAGCCTCACAACTGGAGCTGAGAACAGAAGAAGAGCGTGTAGAACGCTAAGAAACAGAGCCAGAGCCAAGGCTGAAGGTGTAGCCCTGAGACGACCGCTGAGTAGCCTGGTCGTCAGCCCAAGAAGCGTCTGAGTGCCCAGTGAGTACAACTCGGTCTCGTCCTCCAAGCACTAGCCCCATGCCCGACGTACTGCACAAGTAGCGCAACACCCTCTTAGCGGCATCCATGTGCTCCTTCCGGTGACGGCCAGGAGCGACATAGCGTGCAAGGATGCTAAGAGGGTATGCAAGGTCAGGTCGAGTGCAGGTCATCAGGTACATGAGGCAGCCCACAAGCTCTGGATACGGGCCACTCGGCTCTACGGACTCATCCGAAGGCAGAGCTGAGAGCGAGTGACCGGTAGGCAGAGGAGTGGGCTGAGGCGAGGAGTACGTGAAGCGGAAGCGCTGAAGGACCTGCTGCACCATGTGTGACTGAGCCAAGATGATGGTGCGCCGTGCTCTGTCCCGGGTGATCCGCAAGCCAAGATAGCTTGTCAGTTCCCCCAGGTCTGTGCACGTGTGTCTCTTCTGCAGCTCCGACTTCACGTGGGCGAGTGCCGCAGTGTCAGCAGTGGCAAAGACCAAGTCGTCGACGTACACGAGGATGTAGAACGGCGGCAGCGAAGTGTCGGTGCGTAGAAACAGCGACGGGTCAGCAGTAGAAGGAGCGAACCCAAGAGCCGCAAGCGTAGTCCTCAGTGTGTCGTGCCACTCACGCGGCGCCTGTCGGAGACCGTAGACTGGCCGCCGGAGGCTCCACTGGGTACCAGAAGGGAACGACCCAGTGAAGCCAGGAGGGCGGCGCAGCCAGATCTCCTCGTGCAGGCTGCCCTGTAGGAAAGCAGTGCTGAAGTCAAGAGAGTGGAGCTCGTAGTCACGCTGAGCGGCGACGTGCAGCAGAACCCGAAGAGTGGTCATCTTCGGGGTCGGGGAGAAGGTCTGGAAGAAGTCAACTCCCTCTCGCTGACTGAAGCCTCGTGCAACGTAACGCGCCTTGAAGACAGGCGGAGAACCCGGCGGCCGCTTCACCCTGAAAATCCACATGCCACTGACGATGTTCGCCCCAGGTGGGGGAACCTCATCAACGTAGGTGCCTGTGGACTTCCAAGAAGCCATCTCTGCGTCCATGGCTGTCTGCCACTGAGAGGAGTACTCACCCGCGATCGCCTCAGCGTAAGAGCGCGGGGTCGGGATGTCTGGAGCATCCGGGTCTCCCTCAGGGGCAACCAGCATGGACACGAGATGAGGTAAAGCAGCGGCAAAGCACTCAAACTCCTCCTGCCTGTCCTCAAGGACGTCCGTGCCAAGAGCACACTCACCCCCGACGGACGGAGGACAGACAGACTCAGACTCAGCAACAAGGCTAGCGGCGTAGTCTAGACGACAGGCGGCAGCAAAGGCAACTAACTCAGCGACTAGAGCAGACGCAGCAGAGGACTCAAAGGTAGGGTCAGTGACAACAGTGGCGAGGAGACGCGTGACAGTAGGACTGGCAGCACGAAGGGAGTCAGACTCCGGGTCAGCAAGAGCAGGAAGAGAGGAAGCAGGAGGAGACGGCAGAAGGACACGCTGGGGAGCAGTGGAAGGATGAAGCGCCATCTCGTGAGTGCCTGGGACAGCAGGTGGACGCTGACGCGGGACACAACGACCAGTGCGAGCAGCACGAACAGGCGACGCTGACCGAGACTCTGGCGACACAGGACGAGACTCAGGCTCACGACGCTCAGTGAGACCGCCTGTCGGACCAGTGTAAGGAGAAGGACCAGGGAGTGGTGAGGCAGGCGGTAGCTGTGACTGCGACTGGACAGGCGGAGGACACTCTAAGGAGGGAGCAGGACTAGGGGGAGGCGGCTGACCAAGAACCTGCTGAAGGAGCGGAACAAAGTACGGCCGCGGCCGCGCAGCGCCTCCAGAACCAGCAGAGGCACCTCCAGTACCCTCAGCTCCAGGGTCTCCAGCTATACCGGCAGCACCAGCTCCCGGGTCCGCAGCACCACCAGCAGCTCCAACTCCAGGGTCCTCAGATCCAGCAGCAGCTCCAACTCCAGGGTCGGCAGCACCAGCAGCAGCTCCAACGCCCGGGTCCGCAGTACCAGCAGCAGCTCCAACGCCCGGGTCCGCAGCACCAGTAGTAGCTCCAACGCCCGGGTCCGCAGTACCAGCAGCAGCTCCAACGCCCGGGTCCGCAGCACCAGTAGCAGCTCCAACGCCCGGGTCCTCAGCACCAGCAGCAGCTCCAGTAGTACCAGCAGCACCGCCAGCAGCAGCAGCACCTCCAGCACTAGGGTCCGCGACTCTAGGAGCGCCACTCCGGAGACTGCAGTGCCGCGCGTACCACTCTCGGAGCCGCTGAGGAGAGGGCAGCTCCCGCCTAGGAGGGGAAGCACTAGCACCAGCTCCAGCAGCACGCCTAGCTCCAGAAGCACCTCTCCTGAGGCTGCAGTACTGTAAGTACCACTCACGCAGCTGCTGTGAGGGGAGAGCTCCTCCAGGTGTAGCACTCCCAGGCTCAGTACCTCCAGACTCAGCACCCCCAGACTCAGCACCCCCAGACTCAGCACCCCCAGACTCAGTACCCGCAGGCTCCGCACCCCCAGGCTCAGCACCCCCAGACTCCGCAACCCCAGGCTCCGCACCCCCAGGCTCCGCACCCCCAGGCTCCGCACGCTCAGGCTCAGCACCCCTAACAGGACGAGAGTCGACAGCTACCTCGACAGGCTCAACCGGGTCTACCTGGGACACACCTGAGGGAGCGGCACCCTGAGGGGGGAGGGGGTCTACCACAGCAGCACCTGGCGCGAGGAAGAGAGGCGGGGGGGGGAGCGGGGCAGTGCGGTAGGGGAAGAGGCGGTAGTAGGGCACGGACTCGTCAAAAGTGACGTCCTGAGAGGGCAGGACCCGGCGCGAGGTGGCGTGGTAAAACTGCCAGCCAGACGCATCCGGGACAAAGCCAAGGAAGACACAAGGAACAGCGCGGGAGGAGAGCTTGTCCGCGGACGTATCGCGAACAAAAGCTCGAGATCCCCAGACCCGAAAACGAGACGCATCGCCAACCTCTCCCGTCCAACGCAGTGTCGGGGAAGTCTCCGGCAAGGAGACACGGGGCCAGAGGTTTAGCTGATGTGCAGCGTATCGGACCGCAAACGGCCACAGAAAGTGGGGGGCAGCCGCATGGATCAAGGAGGTACGAGCGACCTCCATGACCAAGCCAATGCGGCGCTCAGCAACCCCATTCTGCTGTGGAGAGGCCGGAAGCGTGAACGACTGCTCAATGCCGTGCTCCGCACAGTAGGCTGCCAAGAGGTCGGAGGAGAACTCACCACCTCTGTCAGAGTGCAGACGCAGGACAGGAAAGTCCGAGTGGAACCTCTCGCTGAGCTGAAGACGGGCTCTGCGGATCCAAGGGATCAAAACATCAGGGACCTCACCCTTGGTGCGCAAGGGGAAGACCGTGGTGTAGCGCGAGTAGTCGTCAACAACGATCAGGAAGTACCTCTCCTGACCCTGTCCACGGACGCGGGCTGGGCCCCACACGTCCATGTGGAGCGTCTGCAAGGGAGCAGTCGTCGGGGGAAACGAGGAGGAGTGAGGAGCGGCGCGCTGCCGCCCCTCGACACAAGGAAGACAGGGAGGAGCAGGCGAGGGTGGGAGGGGAGGGAGTACCCGGGGAAGACCAGAGACAAGGTACCGTTTGTGCATGGCACGAAGACGCTGCACTGACGGGTGACCAAGGCGGTGGTGCCAGAGGACAGTCTCGTGCGCCAGAGAGCGACACGAGCAGGGGGCAGACAGCTGACCTGACGCAGACGCAGACACAGCTACCTGAGGGGACTCAGTGGTCAGTGTGTACAGGTCCGACCCCGGCTGCCTAGTGAAGGTAGCCAGGTGACGGCCCGTCCGAGCACACGTGCAGTGTGTCACACGCTCGTAGGCAGGGGTGAACTGGTGGACACCCCCGTCCTGGAGGGCACAACCCGCCACCAAGTTCGTAGAGAACGAGGGGAGGTGGAGACCTGACAGAGTGCCCGACGGAACCGCAGGACAAGGAAGGACAGTGGAGGAGGTCGCTATGACCGGAACCCCAGAGGGGTCAGCAAGGGAGACAGCGACTGGCCGAGCAAGCTGCTCAAGGGCAGTGCGGTCACGAAAGAAACAGCGAGAAGCGCCTGAGTCTAGAGTGAAGGTGTGCAGTGCCTCAGTGGACTCAGTACCAGGGGGCGCAGACTCACTAGCACTTGAAGCAGTAGCCTCACCAGCACCTGGGGCAGCAGACACGTAAGCACCTAGAGCAGTAGCCTCACCAGCACCTGGGGCAGCAGACACGCAAGCACCTAGAGCAGCAGCCTCACTGGTGCGAATGCCTGGGTCGGGCGGAACACGCAGGTACTGATCACCCTCTCCACTAGTAGACAACACATACTTGGCAGTGAGAATAGCATCAAAGTCAAGAGCAAAGACATCAATGTTCTTCTTCATCAGATCCCACCAGCGGGGCAGCTCAGTGGCAGTAGGGAACTGAGTGCGCCAAGCGTCGTCGAGGCGGGAGAAGCAGCGCTGCGTGGCGTGCGCCCTCCCATACGTGTGGCCAGTGCGCTCACTAGTGCGGATGACGTACGTGCAGCTAAGCCCACCCCCCCCCCCCCCCCGTGCTGAGAGTACCACTCACGAAGCTCCTGGGAAGAGAGAGTCTGCTGTCCGCCAGCGCCACCACGACCACCACCTCCGCCGCCACCACCTCGACCACCACCGCTCCTGCCGCCGCCTCGTCCACCGCCGCCCCCACCACCGCCCCCACCCCGGCCACCTCCTCCGCTGCTGCCGCCACCACCCCCACCGCTGCCACTAGCTCCTCCTGCCCCGCCACCACCCCCACCGCCTCCACCGCCCCCACCACCGCCTCCCCCGCCGTCACCTCCACCTCCCTTGCCCCCTTTGCCCTTGCCGCTGCGGCGCCAACTCGGAGCGGACGCAGTCCCGACCTGCTCAGTACCAACTAGGTCGACAGCAGCAGCAGAGGCGACAGAGGGGAGAAGGGGGGAAGGGGAACACCCCTCGAAGAACGGGGTGCGGGGGTCGCCACGAGAGGCACCTACAGCTACAATACTCTTCTTAGCTGCAAGCAGTTCCTTCTCGAGCAGATCAACGGTGAGCTCAGTGGGGCAGCGAGCGAGGAAGTGGTCCCTGACCGCTCGAAGGGAGTCAGGGAGACGGGTGACTAGGTGATAGAGAGTGAGCCAGAGCGGGGGGGGGTGGGTGGCAAGAAACTCAGCGGGCATAGCAGCATGGAAGCGGGCCTCACTAGTGCGGAGGTGCGTGATGAGGTCAGCGACTGTGTGGAAAGAGGACAGGTCGGGGAACAGGTAGGGGAGTGAGAGACGGCCTAGCGCAGCAGAGGCAGGCGAGGAGTAGTGTGCAACTACAGCAGTGTACAGTGCCTGTGCAGTTTTGTGCTGGCCAAAGTGCTCGCGCTCATCTACCGGCAGGGAGTTGCGAATGGCAAAGCGAGCGTGGGCGTCACGAGTCTGCCACTGTGAACGGGCAGTACTGTCAGCAGTAGTAGCAGGGGCAGCAGCATTGCCTAGTGCGTGATCGTACAGCGAGATATCCTCCTTGGCAGTGAGCTGGAGGAACAGGTGCAAGTCATCTAGCCAGGTCTCAAACTTCAGTGGGCGACCCTCAGCATCGAAAGCTAGAACAGCAGGGCTAGCCATAGTTGCAGTAAGGGCAGTAGTAGCAGCAGAAACAGTAGCAGTAGGAGCTGCAGGCGAAACCCTAAAAGCAGCAGGCAGTGCGACTCAGGTAGGGCGGCTCGGTCCAGAGAGGGCTGCTCAGTACGGGGAGGGCGGCGCGGCTCGGTTCGGGCGGCGCGGCTCGGCTCGGTTCTGGGCGGCTCGGTTCGGGCGGCTCGGTTCGGGCGGCTCGGTTCTGGCGGGGCCGTGGCGGTCGCACGTGGGGCGGCTCGGTTCTGGCGGGGCCGGTAAGGGGCGAACGCGGGGCCGACGGGGCCGCTAAGGGGCGGCGCAAGGGGTCGACGGGGCCGTAAGGGGCCTCTAGGGGGCGGCGCTCGGGGTCGACGGGGCCGTAAGGGGCCGCTAAGGGGCGGCGCTCGGGGTCGACGGGGCCGTAGGGGGCCGCTAAGGGGCGAACGCGGGGCCGACGGGGCCACTAAGGGGCGGCGCGCGGGGTCGACGGGGCCGTAAGGGGCCACTAAGAGGCGGCGCGCGGGGTCGACGGGGCCGTAAGGGGCCGCTAAGGGGCGGCGCGTGGGGTCGACGGGGCCGTAAGGGGCCGCTAAGGGGCGGTGCGCGGGGTCGACGGGGCCGTAAGGGGCCGTTAAGGGGCGGCGCGCGGGGTCGACTGGGCCTTGAGGGGCCGCTAAGGGGTCGACGGGGCCGTAAGGGGCCGCTAAGGAGGGGCGCACGAGGGCGCTACGACAGTAGGGCGCACTAGGGCGCTAGTAGACAGTCAGTGTGGTGGGCCCTTAAAAAAAAATCGGTCCTAGCGGAGGACCTGCTCTGAAACCATATCAGAAATAACGAAACAGGAATGAATGAACTAGCACAAAGTTGGGTACAAGTAGGAAACCCTAAGTTTGTGTACCCCCTAAGGCTAAACCCACTATAGCCTACACAATGTAAACATACAATGTTTGACATTTTCTGCCCTGAAAAATGTTCTCTGTTCACCGCCCGTCCTGCGCATCGCCGACCCACACCGCCCCTTCGAAGTCGTTACAGATGCGAGCGACATCGCCATTGGAGCCGTACTGCTACAGGATTTCGGCAACGGCCTACAGCCCATCGCATACGAGTCACGAAAACTGCATCCGCCCGAGAGAAACTACCCGATACACGACCGCGAAATGCTCGCGATCGTGCATGCGTTCAAAGTGTGGCGCTGTTACTTGACCGGCGCAGACGTGACAGTACGGACAGACCACCGATCACTACAGTACCTCCGCGCACAGCCCCACCTCAACCCACGACAGATTCGGTGGCTCGATTTCCTCGAGTCAAACTTCCACTACACGGTCACCTATAAAAAGGGAGCCTCGAACATCGCCGACGCACTGACCCGCCCCACTGCCCAGATCCACGCGATACTACTCGCCCAGACCAGCCCGCTACTGACAGGACTATTTACCCACGGATATCAAACGGACCCATTCTTCACAGGAGGAAATTCGCAGCAGTTCGCAGCAGCCAAGGGAGTCTATTACATAAAAGCCGGGACCGACCGCATCTGGGTACCAGGGTACACACTGCTACGGGAATTACTATTATAGGAGGCACACGACGGGGTTACCTTGGGACATTTCGGGGTAGAGAAAACACGGCAGCAGCTGCAACGGTATTATTACTGGCCCGAAATGTTGACCGACGTGCAGCGACACGTGGCGTCGTGTCCCACTTGCCAGATCATGAAATCATCACGGAAGCGGCCGGCAGGACAGTTGCAGCCGATCCCACCCCCAGAGCGTGATTGGCAGCAGGTGACGATGGACTTCGTCACGGGGTTACCGGTCGGGGCAAGTGGGAATGACGCGATCCTGGTCGTCGTCGATCGACTGACGAAAATGGCACACTTCGCAGCCTGCAAAAAATCAATCACAGCCGAAGAAACAGCCCGCCTCTTCATCTCTACCGTCGTTCGACTGCACGGGATACCAGCATCAATCATCAGCGACAGAGACACGAAATTCACCAGCAACTTCTGGCGGAACCTGTGGCAGCAGTTCGGCATGCGACTACAGTTTAGTTCATCATACCACCCCGAAACCGACGGACAGACAGAACGGACAAATCAGACCATGGAACAGCTCATCCGGGCCACGTGCGACGACCCGAACACATGGGAACAGCAACTGCCACTCATCGAATTCGCATACAACAACTCACCCTCCGCCACGACCCAACAGTCACCGTTTTATCTGAACTACGGACAAGACCCCACAGTACCCATGACCCCGAATCCCGACAACCCAGTCCCACGCGCGCAACAGTTCGCAGAAATATTACAAGCAGCACGGACCCGAGCAGCAGAAGCAATGAAAAAATCAAACGTCATCGCTAAACGCAACGCCGACCGACACCGCCGCCCCGTCACTTACCAACCCGACGACCTGGTATTACTCGACACTCAAAACCTCCGCCTGCCCATCACCCCGAAGCTCCGCCCCCGATATTGCGGGCCATTTCGCATCAGCCACATGATCACACCCGTCACCGCCCACCTCCTCCTCCCTGCTGACTGGTACGTCAGCCCGTCATTCCACGTCAGCCTGCTTCGCCCATACGTGCCATCCACCAGCCAACTGCCTCGCAACCGCCCCGCCAGTATGACACGACCACCGACTGAGCCAATCATCACGCCCGAAAAAATCCTGAGCCATCGAGTACGTGACCCACGGGGAGCCCGCAGAATCGAATTCCTGATCCGCTGGAAGGACCGCACGCCCACCGAGGACAACTGGGTCCCCCTGGATAGAATCGAGAATCACCCTGTCCTTACTGAGTATCTGCGAAGCCGAAACTTCCGAGATGTACACGCGCTCTCATAAGAGGGGCCTCCTTGGGGAGGGGGGTAGTGTAAGGAAAATTCCTTTTCCTTACTTCGCGTCCCTGCTCAGCGCGTACACCACTGTTCCCGCCAACAGCACCCAACAGTAATCCGTTACCACTCGCGACACTCGCTTCGACACTGTTCCCGCCACTGTTCACGACGCGACCCAACCTCACGGTTCGGTTGGTAACCCGCGCTCCGGACCTCCGCCTCGCCACTTCCCAACCTCGGCGACAGGCCCGTCGCGCACCCCAATTTCCACGCATTACCGTTACCACTGTAGTTTCGCTATATATTCTTCGCTCATGCCTTCGCTCATTGTACTCTTGCTTCGATAGTGCAATTCTCGCTCGCTCACTCAAATTGCACTCGTAACAAACAGACAGACCACCGACGTTGTGATCAGGTTCTAGGACAAGTTACAGGTAGGAACTTTAGTGTAACTGAACAATCGAACAAGTGTAGTCTCTCCAAACCAGAACCATTCTCAAACGGGGATACTAACTGTGAATTGGGGAAACTGGCATAATCAATGCTCGACACTTCAAACCGAGCATGAACCATAAAATACCGCATCAAAACGCTGTGCCATCATCTGCACCGTCTGCCATCCCCTTGGTGATTTGACGACTCGACTCTTGAGCCTCGAAAGCTCCACTTTCCCAGAAGCTGTACGGACACTCTATGGTCAGTTCCCATTCCCAGCATCTGCTATTTTGACCCGTCGCTGGTTAGGTAATGCTACGGATTCTTCCTAGAATAGCCGTCCATTCCATACTTGTGTCGGATCGCCTCGACTGCAGTAATCGCCCGCCGAGCGGCACGCGTTAATCGAGACGATTTATCGAGAGATTAGACGAATACGAGTAATTGCACTGTCTTCCGTGGATGACATACCACATGGCGGAAAGGCAGCGAGCGGGAGGGGTGAGTCATAAGAATACGAGTCAGGCGTTATCGTTACCATATTTCGCCATTTAAAAGATTGCGGGCACTATGAGTGGAGGAGAGAACCGGAGGGGTGGAGTGTGGTGTGGGGGGTTTGGGTGAGAGAGAGGATCATGATTAGTGAGGTGAGTATGGAAAGAGAGCGAACCATGGTAAGGCGAGGGAAGAAAGAAGAGGTAGGTAAGGGGGAAGCGGAGGTGAGAGAGGGGATAACGAGGTGGCGGTGCAAGCGCGCAGCCTTTGAGGCGCCTCAAAAGTCGTCTCTTATCCCGCAATAATGAATGAGGAGGTGGTGCAAGCGCGCAGCTCTCAAGATAGTTCCCTTGCCTACTTTTTCCCCCTTCCCTTCCCCCTCCCTCTTCTCCCCCCCAGCCCCGTCCCGTCACCATGGGGCGCAAGCGAGCAGCCCTCCCCTGCCTGCTCTCCCCCACCCCCAGCACCTCCCCTTTGGGCTTTGGGGGCGGAGGGGATGGGTCCAGCGCCACTTTCAAGATGGCCCTGCTTGGCCTCACTGTTCCCCGTCATTGCCCCCCCTCCCTCTCCCCATCCCTGCTCCCCCTCCTCTTCCCCGTCCCCTCCCGCCTCCCATTCCCCGTCCCCTCTTCCACACCTTGTTCCCCCTCCCCTTTCCCCCATTCCCCCCCTCCCCAGCCCCGTCCCCTCACCATGGGGCGCAAGCGCGCAGCCCTGCCCCGCCTGCTCTCCCCCAGCACCTCCCCCTTGGGCTTTGGGGGCGGAGGGGATGGGTCAATCGCCATATTCAACACAGCTCCCCTTGGCCTCAGTATTCCCCCTCCCCTCCTCGCCCTCCCTTTTCCCTCTGCTCTGTCCGCTCCTTGTTCCCGCTCCTCGCCCCCCCTCCCCTTTCCCCCCTCCCTGCGCCCCCCAGCCCCGTCCCCTCACCATGGGGCGCAAGCGCGCAGCCCTGCCCCGCCTGCTCTCCCCCAGCACCTCCCCCTTGGGCTTTGGGGGCTTTGGGGGCGGAGTGGATGGCTCCAGCGCTACTTTCAAGATCGCCCTGCTTGGCCTCGCTGCCTGCCTCTTCTGCCTGCTTATCCTCGTTATAGTCGTCCTCTTTGCCCTGGTAAGTCGTCTCCGCTATAAGCACCCTTTCTTTTTGCTGGCCCGTTATAAATCACCACATTCCCACCACACTCCCATCCCATCCCATCCCATTCCAGCCCACTCGCATCACATTTCCCCACCCTCTCCGCTGCTCGTTCCCCTTTCCATCCTTCCCTAAACCCTACATCGTTAGGGAGCTGTTTTTTAGATTAAAAAAAAAAACAGGTTCTGCTCGTTCCCCTGTCCAGCCTTCCCGTCCCTGGACATCGTTAGGGAGCTGTTTTGATGCACGGACTCCCGTTTCCTGTTGAGGCTCGTATCAAAACAGCTCCCTTCCTCCCCTCTCTCCCTGCCGTGTCCTGCGCTGCCAGCTCATCAGCATGAGGTGGTCGTCTGCTGTCCCTCCTCCCCTGTCCCTTCTACCCTCTGCTTACACCCCTGTCTCCCTTCCTCCCCTCCCTCCTCCCCTCCCTTGCGCTCTGCCAGCTCATCAGCATGAGGTGGTCGTCTGCTGACGTGGCCGCCAGCCTGGCAGCGCGAGAGTCGCTCAGTAAGTGGCGAAACCTTGAGGCCTCTTGTTGCAGTGCAGGAGTGACAAAACAGCAGAAAGTTCAGAGCGAGTGCCTGAACATATTCATTCTAACTGGTCATGAATAAGAGGCAGAGATTGAGTGAGTGAGTGAGTGAGTGCATGAGTGAGCGAGTGAGCATTTGAGCAATTCCCAATTCATTCCGTGACTGAATGGCAGCGAGCGAGTGAGTGAGTGAGTGAGTGAGCGAGTGAGTGAGTGAGCGAGTGAGTGAGCGAGTGAGTGGTTGAAAACTTGTCAATTCATCCACTTGCTCACTCACCACCCTTGACTGAATTGCCACTCATGAGGGCTGAATGGCTGCATCTAGGTGACAATAGAGACGACTCAAAAGTCACCTCGAACTTGTCAAACACATCCACTCTCGCTCACTCACCCTTGACTGAATTGCCACTCATGAGGGCTGAATGGCTGCATCTAGGTGACAATAGAGACGACTCAAAAGTCACCTCGAACTTGTCAAACACATCCACTCTCGCTCACTCACCCTTGACTGAATTGCCACTCATGAGGGCTGAATGGCTGCATCTAGGTGACAATAGAGACGACTCAAAAGTCACCTCGAACTTGTCAAACACATCCACTCTCGCTCACTCACCCTTGACTGAATTGCCACTCATGAGGGCTGAATGGCTGCATCTAGGTGACAATAGAGACGACTCAAAAGTCACCTCGAACTTGTCAAACACATCCACTCTCGCTCACTCACCCTTGACTGAATTGCCACTCATGAGGGCTGAATGGCTGCATCTAGGTGACAATAGAGACGACTCAAAAGTCACCTCGAACTTGTCAAACACATCCACTCTCGCTCACTCACCCTTGACTGAATTGCCACTCATGAGGGCTGAATGGCTGCATCTAGGTGACAATAGAGACGACTCAAAAGTCACCTCGAACTTGTCAAACACATCCACTCTCGCTCGCTCACCCTTGACTGAATTGCCACTCATGAGGGCTGAATGGCTGCATTGCATGGTCTCTATATCCTAAACCCAACTCCTGAACCGGAAGCCCTAAACCCTCACTCCTTCCCCCCTCTCTCCCCTCGTCCCTCCGCCCTCCTGTTTTCACCCCTCCTTGCAGCTGCTGAGTCGCTGAGAGGGAGGAAGGCGCATCCTGGCATGGTGGTGGTAAATCAACAAGGCATGGTGGTAAGTGCACCATCCATCTCTCTGTTGGTGGTAGAGTGGAGTGACGTTCGATTTGATACTCCCTCCCTTCCATGGTGGTGGTGGTGGTGGTGGTAGAGGGAGGAAGGCGCATCCTGGCATGGTGGTGGTAAACCAACAGGGCATGGTGGTAAGTGCTCCATCCATCTCTCTGTCGGGGGTAGAGTGGAGTGACGTTCGATTCGATACTCCCTCCCTTCCCTACTCCGGTCTACCGGGCCAGGTGTATATTGAATCGCTGAGAGGGAGGAAGGCGCATCTTGGCATGGTGGTAAGTGCGCCGTCTCTCTGTCGGGGGTAGAGTGGAGTGACGTTGATACTCCCTCCCTTCCCTACTCCGGTCCACCCAGGTGTATTTTGAGGCGTTGAAGTTCTGCATTTTGGCACTTATGAGTTGAAAAATTCCAGCATTCGCCACAGCTACCAATCGCACTGCCACTGCTGCCAATGTCAATGCCTCTGCCACTGCTGCCAATGCCAATGCCTCTGCCACTGCTGCCAAGTGACACTCTTTACTCCCTCCCGCTACTCTGTCCGCCCAGCCAAATTCCTCCGCTGCTGCAACTGTCGCCACCACTGCTGCCAATGCCACACACACCACTGCCACTGCTGCCAAGTGACACTCTATATACTCCCTCCCGCTACTCTGTCCGCCCAGCCCAATACCACCGCTGCTGCAGGCAGTAGCAGCTCCCAAAATCCAAGCAAAAGGTCTAATAACGAGGATGGTGCAGCTAATAACGAGAATAAAGATCCAGCCGGCGGTGCTGACGAGGATGAGGATGACGATGACGAGGCGGGCGGCGGGGGGCTGTCGAGCCGGAGGAAGGAAGGTGCACGGAAGCTTCAGCAGTGGAGGGAGTTCTTCAAAGGAGTGGTATTGGTGCTGCACTTTTCCAGGTGAGTTGGGTTGGGATGGGATGGGGGCGAGGAGGCAGCTGTGTGGGTGGGGGACATGAGTGCTGGGGACGGGGAGAGGAGTGTTGGGTGGGTGGTAAGTGCATCAAGAGAACACAGCTTCAGCAGCAGTGGGAGGGAGTTCTTCAGAGGAGTGGATCTGGTGATGGAGAATGGAGTGTTGTGACGAGGAAAGGGATGGTGGGTGGGAATGGGTCAGTTGGGTTGGTGATGGGTATTCGAGTGCTGGGGACGACAATATAAGTATGCTCTCAATGTGCTTACGTCACTTGTTGTTGACCTACATCTCTTCTAGCAGCGGGGCAGATGCATTTTGAGGCGCCTCAAAATACACCTTTAAGTATGCTCTCGATGTGCTCTCTTCTAGAAGCGGGGTAGATGCATAAGCTCGTTCTCATGCCTGTTGCTCTGCTGCAGCAGGCCTGTGAGTTTTGAGACGTCTCAAAACATCAGTTTTATCACGAGTTGGAGGCATGGCGACACGTAGTGGCCTGGCCACGCGTGGTGGTAACCATGCAGAGTTGACTTTTGAGTCGACTCAAGTCAGTCGAGTCAAAAGTCGGTCGACTCAAGAATAAGACGACTCAAAAGTCAACTGTGAGTTGGAGGTATGGCGCCACGCAGTGGCCTGGCCACGCGTGGTGGACTTTTGAGACGTCTCAAAAGTCGCGTAGTGGCCACGCCACGCGTAGTGGTAACCATGCAGAGTTGACTTTTGATTTGAGACGTCTCAAAAGTCGCGTGGTGGCCACGCGTAGCGGCCGGCCACGCGTAGCGTAGTGATGGTAACCATGCAATTCTGTACGGTCCTGTCTTCAACGTTGAGACTTTTGAGACCCGTCTCGCAATTCTGTACGGTCTCGTATTCAACACTGGAGAAATGGAACCATGTCTACTCGCAGGCTGCTCATGCCTCTTCGCTCCTGCCTGGATCCCCGCTGCTTATGCCTCCTCTCTCCCCCAGGCCTGTGCGCGCATGGCAAACGTGGAGTTCTGGCGGCACGTGTTGTGCTGCTCATGCCGCTTCCCTCCTGCTGCTCGCCCCCTGCCCTGCCCACTCAGCTTCCCACCCCAGGCCGGTGCGAGCATGGCAGACGCTGGAGTTCTGGCGCCACGTGTACGGCCGCGTGTTTGACAGTCTGCTGTTGCTTGTGCCTCGTGTTGACCTGCTGCCCCCATCCCATGTCTGCACGTATGCCCTCACCTCCGCTGCTCCAGGCCCATACGCGCATGGCAGACACTGGAGTTCTGGCGCCACGTGTACGGCCGCGTGTTTGACAGTCTGCTGTTGCTTGTGCCTCGTGTTGACCTGCTGCCCCCATCCCATGTCTGCACGTATGCCCTCACCTCCGCTGCTCCAGGCCCATACGCGCATGGCAGACACTGGAGTTCTGGCGCCACGTGTACGGCCGCGTGTTTGACAGTCTGCTGTTGCTTGTGCCTCGTGTTGACCTGCTGCCCCCATCCCATGTCTACACGTATGCCCTCACCTCCGCTGCTCCAGGCCCATACGCGCATGGCAGACACTGGAGTTCTGGCGCCACGTGTACGGCCGCGTGTTTGACAGTCTGCTGTTGCTTGTGCCTCGTGTTGACCTGCTGCCCCCATCCCATGTCTGCACGTATGCCCTCACCTCCGCTGCTCCAGGCCCATACGCGCATGGCAGACACTGGAGTTCTGGCGCCACGTGTACGGCCGCGTGTTTGACAGTCTGCTGTTGCTTGTGCCTCGTGTTGACCTGCTGCCCCCATCCCATGTCTGCACGTATGCCCTCACCTCCGCTGCTCCAGGCCCATACGCGCATGGCAGACACTGGAGTTCTGGCGCCACGTGTACGGCCGCGTGTTTGACAGTCTGCTGTTGCTTGTGCCTCGTGTTGACCTGCTGCCCCCATCCCATGTCTGCACGTATGCCCTCACCTCCGCTGCTCCAGGCCCATACGCGCATGGCAGACACTGGAGTTCTGGCGCCACGTGTACGGCCGCGTGTTTGACAGTCTGCTGTTGCTTGTGCCTCGTGTTGACCTGCTGCCCCCATCCCATGTCTACACGTATGCCCTCACCTCCGCTGCTCCAGGCCCATACGCGCATGGCAGACACTGGAGTTCTGGCGCCACGTGTACGGCCGCGTGTTTGACAGTCTGCTGTTGCTTGTGCCTCGTGTTGACCTGCTGCCCCCATCCCATGTCTGCACGTATGCCCTCACCTCCGCTGCTCCAGGCCCATACGCGCATGGCAGACACTGGAGTTCTGGCGCCACGTGTACGGCCGCGTGTTTGACAGTCTGCTGTTGCTTGTGCCTCGTGTTGACCTGCTGCCCCCATCCCATGTCTGCACGTATGCCCTCACCTCCGCTGCTCCAGGCCCATACGCGCATGGCAGACACTGGAGTTCTGGCGCCACGTGTACGGCCGCGTGTTTGACAGTCTGCTGTTGCTTGTGCCTCGTGTTGACCTGCTGCCCCCATCCCATGTCTGCACGTATGCCCTCACCTCCGCTGCTCCAGGCCCATACGCGCATGGCAGACACTGGAGTTCTGGCGCCACGTGTACGGCCGCGTGTTTGACAGTCTGCTGTTGCTTGTGCCTCGTGTTGACCTGCTGCCCCCATCCCATGTCTGCACGTATGCCCTCACCTCCGCTGCTCCAGGCCCATACGCGCATGGCAGACACTGGAGTTCTGGCGCCACGTGTACGGCCGCGTGTTTGACAGTCTGCTGTTGCTTGTGCCTCGTGTTGACCTGCTGCCCCCATCCCATGTCTGCACGTATGCCCTCACCTCCGCTGCTCCAGGCCCATACGCGCATGGCAGACACTGGAGTTCTGGCGCCACGTGTACGGCCGCGTGTTTGACAGTCTGCTGTTGCTTGTGCCTCGTGTTGACCTGCTGCCCCCATCCCATGTCTGCACGTATGCCCTCACCTCCGCTGCTCCAGGCCCATACGCGCATGGCAGACGCTGGAGTTCTGGCGCCACGTGTACGGCCGCGTGTTTGACAGTCTGCTGTTGCTTGTGCCTCGTGTTGACCTGCTGCCCCCATCCCATGTCTGCACGTATGCCCTCACCTCCGCTGCTCCAGGCCCATACGCGCATGGCAGACACTGGAGTTCTGGCGCCACGTGTACGGCCGCGTGTTTGACAGTCTGCTGTTGCTTGTGCCTCGTGTTGACCTGCTGCCCCCATCCCATGTCTGCACGTATGCCCTCACCTCCGCTGCTCCAGGCCCATATGCGCATGGCAGACACTGGAGTTCTGGCGCCACGTGTACGGCCGCGTGTTTGACAGTCTGCTGTTGCTTGTGCCTCGTGTTGACCTGCTGCCCCCATCCCATGTCTGCACGTATGCCCTCACCTCCGCTGCTCCAGGCCCATACGCGCATGGCAGACACTGGAGTTCTGGCGCCACGTGTACGGCCGCGTGTTTGACAGTCTGCTGTTGCTTGTGCCTCGTGTTGACCTGCTGCCCCCATCCCATGTCTGCACGTATGCCCTCACCTCCGCTGCTCCAGGCCCATACGCGCATGGCAGACACTGGAGTTCTGGCGCCACGTGTACGGCCGCGTGTTTGACAGTCTGCTGTTGCTTGTGCCTCGTGTTGACCTGCTGCCCCCATCCCATGTCTGCACGTATGCCCTCACCTCCGCTGCTCCAGGCCCATACGCGCATGGCAGACACTGGAGTTCTGGCGCCACGTGTACGGCCGCGTGTTTGACAGTCTGCTGTTGCTTGTGCCTCGTGTTGACCTGCTGCCCCCATCCCATGTCTGCACGTATGCCCTCACCTCCGCTGCTCCAGGCCCATACGCGCATGGCAGACGCTGGAGTTCTGGCGCCACGTGTACGGCCGCGTGTTTGACAGTCTGCTGTTGCTTGTGCCTCGTGTTGACCTGCTGCCCCCATCCCATGTCTGCACGTATGCCCTCACCTCCGCTGCTCCAGGCCCATACGCGCATGGCAGACACTGGAGTTCTGGCGCCACGTGTACGGCCGCGTGTTTGACAGTCTGCTGTTGCTTGTGCCTCGTGTTGACCTGCTGCCCCCATCCCATGTCTGCACGTATGCCCTCACCTCCGCTGCTCCAGGCCCATATGCGCATGGCAGACACTGGAGTTCTGGCGCCACGTGTACGGCCGCGTGTTTGACAGTCTGCTGTTGCTTGTGCCTCGTGTTGACCTGCTGCCCCCATCCCATGTCTGCACGTATGCCCTCACCTCCGCTGCTCCAGGCCCATACGCGCATGGCAGACACTGGAGTTCTGGCGCCACGTGTACGGCCGCGTGTTTGACAGTCTGCTGTTGCTTGTGCCTCGTGTTGACCTGCTGCCCCCATCCCATGTCTGCACGTATGCCCTCACCTCCGCTGCTCCAGGCCCATACGCGCATGGCAGACACTGGAGTTCTGGCGCCACGTGTACGGCCGCGTGTTTGACAGTCTGCTGTTGCTTGTGCCTCGTGTTGACCTGCTGCCCCCATCCCATGTCTGCACGTATGCCCTCACCTCCGCTGCTCCAGGCCCATACGCGCATGGCAGACACTGGAGTTCTGGCGCCACGTGTACGGCCGCGTGTTTGACAGTCTGCTGTTGCTTGTGCCTCGTGTTGACCTGCTGCCCCCATCCCATGTCTGCACGTATGCCCTCACCTCCGCTGCTCCAGGCCCATACGCGCATGGCAGACACTGGAGTTCTGGCGCCACGTGTACGGCCGCGTGTTTGACAGTCTGCTGTTGCTTGTGCCTCGTGTTGACCTGCTGCCCCCATCCCATGTCTGCACGTATGCCCTCACCTCCGCTGCTCCAGGCCCATACGCGCATGGCAGACACTGGAGTTCTGGCGCCACGTGTACGGCCGCGTGTTTGACAGTCTGCTGTTGCTTGTGCCTCGTGTTGACCTGCTGCCCCCATCCCATGTCTGCACGTATGCCCTCACCTCCGCTGCTCCAGGCCCATACGCGCATGGCAGACACTGGAGTTCTGGCGCCACGTGTACGGCCGCGTGTTTGACAGTCTGCTGTTGCTTGTGCCTCGTGTTGACCTGCTGCCCCCATCCCATGTCTGCACGTATGCCCTCACCTCCGCTGCTCCAGGCCCATACGCGCATGGCAGACGCTGGAGTTCTGGCGCCACGTGTACGGCCGCGTGTTTGACAGTCTGCTGTTGCTTGTGCCTCGTGTTGACCTGCTGCCCCCATCCCATGTCTGCACGTATGCCCTCACCTCCGCTGCTCCAGGCCCATACGCGCATGGCAGACACTGGAGTTCTGGCGCCACGTGTACGGCCGCGTGTTTGACAGTCTGCTGTTGCTTGTGCCTCGTGTTGACCTGCTGCCCCCATCCCATGTCTGCACGTATGCCCTCACCTCCGCTGCTCCAGGCCCATATGCGCATGGCAGACACTGGAGTTCTGGCGCCACGTGTACGGCCGCGTGTTTGACAGTCTGCTGTTGCTTGTGCCTCGTGTTGACCTGCTGCCCCCATCCCATGTCTGCACGTATGCCCTCACCTCCGCTGCTCCAGGCCCATACGCGCATGGCAGACACTGGAGTTCTGGCGCCACGTGTACGGCCGCGTGTTTGACAGTCTGCTGTTGCTTGTGCCTCGTGTTGACCTGCTGCCCCCATCCCATGTCTGCACGTATGCCCTCACCTCCGCTGCTCCAGGCCCATACGCGCATGGCAGACACTGGAGTTCTGGCGCCACGTGTACGGCCGCGTGTTTGACAGTCTGCTGTTGCTTGTGCCTCGTGTTGACCTGCTGCCCCCATCCCATGTCTGCACGTATGCCCTCACCTCCGCTGCTCCAGGCCCATACGCGCATGGCAGACACTGGAGTTCTGGCGCCACGTGTACGGCCGCGTGTTTGACAGTCTGCTGTTGCTTGTGCCTCGTGTTGACCTGCTGCCCCCATCCCATGTCTGCACGTATGCCCTCACCTCCGCTGCTCCAGGCCCATACGCGCATGGCAGACACTGGAGTTCTGGCGCCACGTGTATGGCCGCGTATTCTCATCCTCACGCTCTCTGTCCTCCCTGTTGCTTGCCCCTCTGCTGCTCGTTTCACCTGCTGCTCCAGGCCCATACGGGCATGGCAAACTCTTGAGTTCTGGCGCCATGTGTACAGCCGCGTGTTTGACAATCTGCTCTTTCTTGCACTGCCCTTGTGTATACCCCCCGCACTGACTGACTGCGCACCCCAGGCCAGTGCGAGCATGGCAAACATTGGAGTTCTGGCGCCACGTGTACGGCCACGTGTTTGACGATTTCGTGGCGGTGTCAACAGAAGCAATCCCCGAGCTGGGGGTCATTGCGGTATGCTCCCACCCACCCACTATCTCCCACCCACGTCTGCGGCTGCAACTCGTGCTCCTCATGCCTCTTTCCTTCCCACGTGTACGGCCGCGTGTTCAACGATCTGGTGACAGTTTCAACTGAAGCCATCCCTGAGCTGGGGTTTATGGCAGTATGCTCGTACCCACTCCCACCCACTCTTTCTCTGCATCTCCTCTGTACTTGCACGGCCGCTTATTCTACGACCGATTGGCTGTGTCAACGGAAGCCGTCCCGAGCTGGGGGTCATTGCGGGTATGCTCTCCTTTTCAGATTAGTAGATGACTTTTGAGTCGACTCAAAATGACTTTTGACTTTTGAGTCGACTCAAAGTGACTTTTGACTTTTGAGTCGACTCAAAATGACTTTTGACTTTTGAGTCGACTCAAAATGACTTTTGACTTTTGAGTCGACTCAAAATGACTTTTGACTTTTGAGTCGACTCAAAATGACTTTTGACTTTTGAGTCGACTCAAAATGACTTTTGACTTTTGAGTCGACTCAAAATGACTTTTGAGTTTTGAGTCGACTCAAAATGACTTTTGACTTTTGAGTCGACTCAAAATGACTTTTGACTTTTGAGCCGACTCAAAAGTCATCTTGGGGTCATTGCGGGTATGCTCTCCTTTTCAGATTAGTAGAATTAGTTCTATAGATCATTCGTAAACTCTTAGTAGGCTTGCTGCGGATCGAAACCAACTAATTTTAACGGGGTCATTGCGGGTATGCTCACATGCACCCACTCCCACCCACTCCCACCCTGAGTGGGAATATACGCTTAACACCTTAAGCGTTTAGCGTATGTACGCTAGCGCGTACATACGCTATCCGCTATACGCTAGCGAATACGCTATACGCTATCAGAATTTTTTTAGGGCTGCCCGAAAAACAAAATCGCAAAAAAGATGCGGATTTCCTAGGTGAGCATTTCGCCGTAGTCGAAATTCAAATCCGCGGTCTAGGCAAACGGGGATCTGACTTCGAAACGTCTGGCAAATGTTGAATTTCAGATCCCATCTAGGGATTGAAATCCATCCCTTCTACCGCATTGAACTCCACTTTATCTACAAACTCCAACCTGTCAAAATTAACCCCCCCAACAAATTTCACGGTACTTACCAGCCAGCCCTGTTGGCTAACCCTAACTCGTCATTTCGTTCCCGCTTTCACCAGATTTCACGCTACTTTGCTTTCAAGCTATTAGGTCTACTCCACCTCCCATTGCACTAGTCATTCGGATTCAGGATTATGCTAGGGCAAGCCTTAGTAAGAATAGGGAGTACTTTTTTTCACCTGCCCGGAATAGTGCTTTCCATATGCTCCCTTCTGCTGCTTCCTCTGGCTGGACGACGATGCACTACTGAACTACTGGACGCTGGCTGATACCCCCCTTGATGATCCCACCCGTCCATTTCCCCACTTAGCTTCTCAATTCTTCTCCATTCTCCATTCTCCATTCTCTCCCCTTCCCGTTTCCTCCCGCCCCTTCCACCCCCCTTCCATCCCACTCCACCCCTCTCCACACCCCCACAGAACAAAATCTGGTACCTAAACTCTTCCAACCCGAACCATCTCCTCACCCTCCCCCTCGACCAACCGCCCTCCGCGCCCATCCGCACCGCTCTGGACCCCTCGGATCTCCCCACCCACATCTCCACATCGCTCTCGCACCTCTCTGAATCCCTCCGAGCCCAGCTGGACCGCTCTCTCTGGCCCCGCCACCAGTCCTTCCCCCTCGCCGCCTGCCCCTCATCGGCCTTCTTCATCCCACAGAGGCTTGTGTTCCTTCCCATGGTGTGTGCCTGAGTGTGTGCTTGCGTGTGTGCGTCCTCGGGCAAAATCAGGTTGCCTGCCCCTCATCCCACAGCGGCTGGTCGACTCGGCTGCTCTGCACGTCATTGCTGTACACAGTGTGGGCCCTCTGGTTAAAACAGGCCGCCTCCCCTCATCGGCCTTCTTCATCCCACAAAGGCTGGTAGATTCTGCTGCTCTGCACGTCATCCCCGTGTTTGCCGCTGAGGCCATACCTGCTCAGGTACGCGCATTGCTCTGCACAATGTGCACCTTCGGGTGAGAACAGGCCGCCTCCCCCTCATCGGCTTTCTTCATCCCACAGAGACTGGTCGACTCGGCTGCTCTGCACGTCATTGCTGTACACAGTGTGGGCCCTCTGGTTAAAACAGGCCGCCTCCCCTCATCGGCCTTCTTCATCCCACAAAGGCTGGTAGATTCTGCTGCTCTGCACGTCATCCCCGTGTTTGCCGCTGAGGCCATACCTGCTCAGGTACGTGCATTGCTCTGCACAATGTGCACCTTCGGGTGAGAACAGGTCGCCCCCCCCTCATTGGCCTTCTTCATCCCACAAAGGCTGGTGGACTCGGCTGCTCTGCACGTCATCCCCGTATTCGCTGCCCAGGCAATACCTGCTCAGGTGCGTGAGGTTGATTGCCTGACTGTGTGAGAGGAGTGAGGCAGGTCCCTCCCTCCCACCCTAAGTGCACTCCCCTTGCCCGCAGAGGCTGGTAGACTCTGCTGCTCTGCACGTCATCCCCGTGTTTGCTGCCCAGGCAATACCCGCACAGGTGTGTGAAATTAGATTCCTTCCCTTTATGTGTGAGCGTCCTTGGGTGGAAGCAGAGGCTGGTAGACTCGGCTGCTCTGCACGTCATCCCCGTCTTTGCAGCCGAGGCAATACCCGCACAGGTACGCGCATTGCTCTGCACAGTGTGCACCTTCGGGTGAGAACAGGTTGCCTCCCCCTCATCGGCCTTCTTCATCCCACAGAGGCTGGTTGATTCTGCTGCTCTGCACGTCATCCCTGTATTCGCTGCCGAGGCAATACCTGCTCAGGTGCGTGAGTTTGATTGCCTGACTGTTCTCAAACTAAGAAAACGGGTAGAAAGCTGCAAGCTCGGTTCGACCGACCTGACTAATCTGAGAGGTACTAAAATCACTGCTCAGGTGAGGCAATACCTGCTCAGGTGCGTGAGTTTGATTGCCTGACTGTTCTCAAACTAAGAAAACGGGTAGAAAGCTGCAAGCTCGGTTCGACCGACCTGACTAATCTGAGAGGTACTAAAATCACTGCTCAGGTGAGGCAATACCTGCTCAGGTGCGTGAGTTTGATTGCCTGACTGTTTGAGACGAGTGAGGCAGGTCCCTCCCTCCCAGCCTAAGTGCACTCCCCTTGCCCACAGAGGCTGGTGGACTCTGCTGCTCTGCACGTCATCCCCGTGTTTGCTGCTGAGGACATACCCGCTCAGGTGCGTGAGTGTGTGCTCTTGAGTGTGTGGGTCCTTGGGTGGGACTAAACCTGGTGGACTCTGCTGCTCTGCACGTCATCCCCGTATTCGCCGAGGCAATACCCGCACAGGTGCGTGTGTGCTAGAGTGCGTGTGTCTGTGCGTGAAATCAGGTCTCTTCCCCCGTCTTTGCTGCCGAGGCAATACCCGCACAGGCACGCGTGTGTATATTCCTTCCCACCACAGGCATGTGTGCTATGGTATGTGTGCTATGGTATGTGTGCTATGGTATGTGTGCTATGGTATGTGTGCTATGGTATGTGTGCTATGGTATGTGTGCTATGGTATGTGTGCTATGGTATGTGTGCTATGGTATGTGTGCTATGGTATGTGTGCTATGGTATGTGTGCTATGGTATGTGTGCTATGGTATGTGTGCTATGGTATGTGTGCTATGGTATGTGTGCTATGGTATGTGTGCTATGGTATGTGTGCTATGGTATGTGTGCTATGGTATGTGTGCCGCCGTTCCTTCCCACACCGTGTGCGTGTGTGTGCTTGAGCATGCGCATTGTCTTTTGAGTCGACTCAAAAGTCTCCTTCCCACACCGTGTGTGCGTGTGTGCTTGAGCAGCATGCGCATTGTTGGGTGAAAGCAGGTGACTTTTACGTCGACTCAAAACTCACCTCCTTCCCACACCGTGTGCGTGTGTGTGTGCTTGAGCATGCGCATTTTTGGGTGAAGTGAAAGCAGGACGCCTCCCCCTCGTCGCCACCCCCTCGTCGCCACCCCCTCGTCGCCTCCCCCGCAAAAGTCGTACTCTTCCTTTTTTGTCGCAGGTTGATTTTGTGCGGAAGGAGACGACTTTTGAGACGTCTCAAAGGTTGATTTAAATAATTCTCAGAAATTTATCACCCACCACCTCGCCACCTCCCCCTCATAAGCTGTATGCATCTCACATAGGCTGCTTGACTCCTTTGTGCTGCACTCCACTCCCTCCTCCCTCCCCACTTCAAGTTACTGATTATTGATACGTCTCAAAAATCAATAATCGTTTCCCTCTTAAACGCCGTATGCATCTCGCATAGGCTGCTTGGCTCCTTGGCTCTGCACACACCCTCTTCCCTCCCCCTTCAGGTAATCTTTCCTCTTTATTCTACATTCGCCACCCGCCGCGTTTACCAGTTCTCGTGAATGCGGTGGTCATTGTGACAATGGCGTGCGGCGTCTTCGCGCTGCTGACCGGCATCTACCGCGTCGCATTCACATCGGACCAGAAGCGCGCAGACTTGCTCGAATTCTCCATGCAGGTGCTGCAGGCGGCCGGTACCGTCGCCGCGTTGCTCCTGCACCCCACGCGCCTCGTCTACCTCCTCCGTCTCGTCCGCTGGCGGCCGTCCGATGTGATCAGCCTGCGGAAAGTCTTCTCGCGAGGCGACGCGGCGGTGGCGAAGCCTCACGAACGTCGCCACATGGCAGTGGTGATCGGGTTACTCAACATCGCGTGCGTGAGCCAGTACGGAATCTTCCTCTGCCTCTGCCTGCGCGCGCCCGCGGACCGCCGAATCTTCCCCGTGCTTGTATTTATATTCGGCGCGTTCGGCCTGGGCACTGTCGCGGGCGTTTACTTCCTGCTCTGCCCGCTCGGCCGCCAGCTTCATGTTGATGCCGCTCCGCCTGCGGCGCATAAGCGTAGTGCGGGGACGGCGGACGGGGATAACAGTACCGCGCGAGGAAGTCCGGCGGAGAAAGCCCGCGCGTGCGGTTTGTGGGGAATCAGCTCTCGGGGCAGAGGCGACGGCGGGGAGGAGCGGGGGACTGAGGGAAGCGAGCGGCGGGAGAGGGCGAGCGTGGTGAGAGCGCTGTTTCCGGACGAGGAGAGTGGCGATGGCGATAGTCCTGAGTGTGCTGGAGAAGACGGAAACAGTGACGACGCGGACAGTAGCAGCAGCAGCAGCGGCATCGGGAGAGACGGCCGCAGCAGCAACAGCAGCAGCAGCAGCAGTGAGATTAGCGGCATTGGAGGCAGCTGCACCACTGACCGCTATCGCCATATCCAACGCACTGAGAGTCACATCGAAGCTTGTCCGCCGCTGGCCCTTCCCCCTGCTGCCCTGGGCCCCCACGCTTACCCCTCTTCCCCCTCTTCCCAGTCCTTCAGCGCGCTTTCGTGCCACCTCTGGTCGTCCCCTGACCATCGTCCCTCACTCCGCCTCGGCTCCGCCCGCCTGCAGAGCTCGCGCAGCCAGCGCAGCAGCAGCTGCCACGTGGACAAGCGCGCTGTGTGGCAGCCGCGTGCGTCATGCGCAGGCGACAATCAGGGCTCAATGGCAGCGCAGGGAGCCGCCGTTACTAACGACGCACCCGAGTGGGCGGGGTCGCTGTGGGGAGTAGCAGACGACTGCGGAATCGCTGCGCGCGTGGCGCTCTGCTGCCCGTGCGCCTTCGCGCGGCACCTGCACCGTGCGGGCTTCGGCCATCCGTTCTTCCACGCGCTCAACCTGCTCCTCTTCCTGCTCGCCCCGCCGCTCGTCTTCACTGCATCCGCGCGCTTCATGACCAACCCCGCGCTGCACGCGCTCACCGTGGCGTTCGGCGTGGCGGGGGCGCTCATGGGGCTGCTGTACGGCGGGTACTGGCGGTGGAAGCTGCGGCGGACCTTCGACCTGCCTGCGCAGACATGGGTGTGCGGACACAAGGCGTTCTCGGATTTCGGCACGTGGGTTGCGTGCCCCTGCTGTGCGCTGTGCCAGGAGATGCGCACCGTGAAGGCGTACGGGCTCAGGGTTGTCGCCCCAGATGATGCCCAGCTGGAGGTGATTGTAACGGGGGGCAAGGGAGAAGCTAGGAGCAGCAGCAAGGGCCGGGCTGAGCGGGACAGTGTAACAATCTCAGTTACCACTGCACCGTGTGTCTTGAAAATGGAGATTGACGGTGACAGTGACAGGGCCTGTTAAGCATCGCCGTTGCTGTGACGCTCCGCATCGCCCCTCGCTTTGGAGAATAAGGTAGAGAGTGGATAGTGCAACGTGGATGGTGGATAGTGGAATGGGGCGAGAGGGGTGAGTGGTGGAAACGAGGGGGTTGGGAAACATGACTGTGAGAGGGAGAGGAGGGGGAAGGAGGGTGTGGGTGTGGGTTGGGGTCAGTCCAGTGAGATGAGCATGCAATGCATACCAAGGACTAGGGCCCTCGCTTGGTATCCATTGCATGCTCATCATGCTCACGTGCTGCCCGTGGATTGCTGTGCCATGGTTTTCTTGTGCCATGGTTTTCTTGTGCCATGGTTTTCTTGTGCTATGGTTTTTCTTGTTTTTTCTTGTCAGCTTTCGATTGGTCTCTTGCTGTAACCGATATAGGAAGCTGTAATTTTGGCAGTATAAGGCTGTCAGCCACCAACTACCAGCAGCAGGGGTGGGTTGGAAGTGGGGAAGTCGGGCGGATGGTCATGGGGAAGAGGCACGTGATGGGGTCAGCGAGGGAGGGGAGGGACGGCAGGGCCAAGGGGTGAGAGAGCAGGGAGGGTGGGGGAAGGTAGAGCACAAGGGGGAAGCAGGGAAGCAGGCCTACCGCCTGTTCCCCCTTGCAGCCCATCCTCCCCTTTCAACCACTCTGACTCCCATCCACATGCTCCCTGCCCACCCCGTTGTGCTTGCGATCAGGGTGTGGTAAGGGCGCGGGGTTTGTGAACCCATTTGATCAATAAATGACCACTACAACACAATTCAAACACAAACCCACAAAGAAACTCTCACGCCTCGATGTGTACAGTACAATACAGTCACTACGAAACCCACAAAGCAAAGCCCACATGAATGCAGCCTATCAATGGCGTCAAACACTTGTGAGCAGTACACAAATACGCACCAGGCAAAGCCCATATGAATCTAGCCCGTTACTAGCATGAATGGTAGCAGCAGCCTATCAATGGTGTGATGTGAACGTTTGCAGCAGCATTGGTGGTGTGAAGAAGGAAGCAGGCAATTACGGCTTGATGGTGAGGATGCTGGGCTCGAGAATGCAAGTGCTGCTGGCCCTGCCGTCCCATCAGCCCCTTGGCTGGTGCTCCTCAAGCCGCTGCACCAAAGAGGACAGAGAGGAAGAACAGAAAGAACTGATTTGCTTCCCAAGCGCCCCACTCTCCCACATTTCCCTCGCCCTCCCAGCCCCACCCCCACATTTTTCTTGCCCACGTCTTGGGGAGATGGCTGACACAAGAGGTTGACAAAACAATTTCGAGCTGACGTTTTTCCACTTTGTGAGAAAATGGAAGATAATACCCATACACAATCAGGTCGTTTCTCATTTTACCCTGATATCCCCAGGGTGGAAAAAACACTACGGTACTACGGTCTGACAGACCAGGTGAAGACAGCAAGGCACCCTGATTCTAAATGGTGTCATGCAAGTAGTTTTAGGCCCTGGTAACCCACACATTTCTGCAGGAGGTTGGGGAGAACGAAACACAAGACAATGTGTGTCCTCTCACTTGCTCACCGTTCTTGCCAATTAGTCCAACCCCTCATTTGCACCGGGGGCACACACGCTCGGGGTTGACTCCCTCACCATGCCCTCACCTCATGCCTCAAGCTCCACTCACCACGGCACTGCCCGTCATTGGCATCGTAGACCTGCGACCCAGGGCACACACACTGGTCCTGGCCGTCCCTCACAATGCACCTAGCTGCTGTCCCACAGTCCCCATCGCAGCCTGTGAGACAAGCATGGGGCGTTTGTGCAGGCAGGGTGGCGGGGCAAAGTGGGAAGTATATTCCCTTATTACAGCGAAGTTCAAACCGTGCGGAGCGGGAACCCGTTTCAAACCTGTTCCCACTCTTTTCAGTTCAAATTTTTCTGCATGCATTGGTCTTGGTCAGACGGTTACCAGCGTCGCTTCGACTCTTCTGACTCCTCAACTTCGGACTCAGTAGAGTCGGCTCCTACAGCATACAGGAATGCCTTCTCATAAAGTTTCATATCCTAACACTCCCCTTCATTCCTGGACGCGCAAGAGGCTGACTCGCTTGACTACTCCGGTGAGGTCGAAGCAGTGCTTATACTGCTGACGTGGCAGTTGCTTGGTGAGGAAGTCGGCTGCCATCTCGGTGGTGGGACAGTATGCGAGGTCAACTTTGCCCTGGTCAATTTCGCTCTTGACGAAAAAGTACCGAAGCGCGATGTGCTTCGTGCGGTTCACGAACCCTGGCTTGTTCGCGATCTTGATGGCGCTCTGGTTGTCGCAGTGAAGACGAAAGGTAGGCGAAGTTGGGATTTTTGCTTCCTGCAGCAGCTCTTGTCGGTACAGACCTTCGCTAACTGATGCTGTCGCGGCGATGTATTCTGCTTCGGCCGATGACAAGGCAACTAGCTGCTGCTTTTGCAAGTTCCAGGAGATTGGTCATGGCAGAAGACAAAGCCGGTTCTAGACCGTCGATTTGCAAGATCAGCGGCATGATCTGCGTCCATGTAGCCATTGAGGTTAAAGGAGGTTGTCGTTGTCGTCAGTGTGGAGTAGGAGAGCTCGATGTCAGGTGTGGAAATGAAGTACTGCAGGGCGCACTCCAGGTCCAGCTGGTTCTCAGCTACTGGCTTGTGAGAGTATTGTGCCAGTTGGCTGGCGATGTACAAAAGGTCGGGTCGGAATGTGACAGTGACGAACAACATGCACCCCAGTTGCTGCTGGTACGGTTGGAGTCCTGCGGATGATCGAGGTTTGTTGTTCGGTATGTAGTTGGCGCTGGGGTTGCGGTAAGGAGTTGACAGTGGTGCGGATGAGATGTGGAAGCGTCCCCCCAGCAGCTCTACGTACTTGAAGGCTGACAGCTGAATTGCTTCTGGCGTGCAGGTGATGTTCAGACCCAGAAACTGTGTGACGTTGTGGTTGATAGTGATGTCAACGCACTGCGCCAGGTTCTTTTCGAACTGATTAAGGAGCTTACTGGTCTATAGCAGGTCGTCGACGTAGACGGTCACGAGAATGTAGTCACCGTTGAAGTGGAGATGGTACATTCCCGGGTCATGCGGCAGCTGCCTGAAGCCAATTTCCAGGAGGATTTTTTGCAGGCTATTGCCAGAGACGCGGTGCCTGCTTTATCCCGTAGTCAGATTTCTTCAGCTGACAGACTCTTGGGTCTCCTTCCCCGTAGGTGTGTGGCTGCTCTACGAAGATGGTTGCATCCACCAGCGCATATAAAAATGTGTTCTTGACGTCGATCTGCCGCAGTGGTAAATGCTTAGCGGCGGCAATGGCGAGTAAAATCCTGACGGAGGTGTGACGGCTGACGGGAGCAAAGGTTTGATTAAAATCAATGCTGTGGCGCTGGTCATACCCGCTTACGACCCAGCGTGCCTTGAAGCGCTCGATAGTGTTGATTGTGTCAAATGATATATATGCTATATATGCTTAGGCTGTAGTGGGGTAGCCAATATGGGGTATAGCCCCTTTTAGGGTTTCATATTTGTACCCATCTCTTTCATAGTTCATTCATTCCTACTGCCAGATTCTAACATGGTTTCAGAGCACTAGGTCCGTAGGACCGTTTTTTTTTTTTCGGGCCCACCTACTGTTGCGGTTACCGCGCTACCCCACGTGTTGTCCTGTGCCTGCCTGCCTTGCCTCGTGACGTGCTGCGCTGCGCGCGCCGTCCTGCAGCCCTCGCGCTGCCTCCTGCTGCCCTAGGCCAGTGCGCCGCCCCTGCAAGCTCGTAAGGCCCTCGAGCCGCCCCTGCAGGCCCGTCAGGCCCCCGAGCCGCCTCTGCAGGCCCGACAGGCCCTCGAGCCGCCCCTGCAGGCCCGTCAGGCCCCCGAGCCGCCTCTGCAGGCCCGTCAGCCCCCCGAGCCGCCTCTGCAGGCCCGTCAGGCCCCCGAGTCGCCCCTGCAGGCCCGTCAGCCCCCCCGAGCCGCCACCTGCAGGCCCGTCAGGCCCGCGAGCCGCCCCTGCAGGCCCGTCAGGCCGGCGCGCTGCCCCTGCAGAACCTTGCCGCCCACGCGCGGCCTCTTCCCGACTGCGCGCTGCCCATACAGGCCCTCGCCGCCCGCGCGCAGCCTCTGCCCGACCGCGCGCCGCCCCTGCAGGCCCTCGCCGCCCGCGCGCAGCCTCTGCCAGATCGCGCGCCGCCCCTGCAGGCCCTCGCCGCCCGCGCGCAGCCTCTGCAGGCCCGTCAGGCCAGCGCGCGACCCCGTCAGGTCGCTGTCGCGGCCCCGTCAGGCCGTAGTCGCGGCCCCGCCTTGTCGCTGACGCGGCCCCACCCTGCCGCGGTCGCGGCCCTGCCCTGCCGCCGACGCGGACGCGGCCCCACCCTGCCGCGGTCGCGGCCCTGCCCTGCCGTGACGCGGCCCCGCCAGCCCTGCAGCTGACGCGGCCGTGCCCTGCTGCTGACGCGGCCGCGCCTTGCTGCTGACGCGGCCACGCCCTGCTGCTGACGCGGCCGCGCCCAGCTACTGACGCGGCCCCGCCAGCCCTGTAGCTGACGCGGCCGCGCCCTGCCACCGACCCGGCCCCGCCCGGACGCCGACGCGGCCCCGCCAGTCCTGCAGTTGCCGCGGCCCCGACCTGCCGCTGGTGCGACCCCGCCCTGCAGCTGCCGCGGCCGCGCCCTGCCGCCAACGCGGCCCCGCCTGGACGCTGATGCGGCCCCGACCTGCTGCTGGCGCGACCCCGCCCTACAACTGCCGCGGCCCTACTCTGCAGCCGCTGATGCGGCCCCGCCGAGCGCCGGACCTGCCTGCCACTGGTGAGCACCTGCCTTGTTCGTGCGCTGCCGCCTGCCTGCCTGCCTGCCCGCCTGCCTGCCTGACTGCCTGCCTGCCGGCCTGCCTGCCCGCTTGCCTGCCTGCCGCGCCTGCCTTGCACGCGCTGCTGCTGCTACTACTGCTATTGCTACTGCTACTGCTACTGCTGCTACTGGCGACGGCCAGATGCAGCTCCAGCGACGTCCGCGTGAGTCCCTCACGCCCC